TGGAGGTTAGTGCTAAGTTAAGAACTGTAGTAGTTACTATGTAAGTATTATTCACTTGATAGTCCCCGGTTGGGGGCATATGTATATATGTGAATGTATGTATGTATGTAAGTATGTATGTGGTAGTAGAAATGCCTGCAGCATGATCATATATAGTAGTAACTGCTGTGATACTACTACTACTACTACTAATATCATACATCACCACTACTAGTGAACGTGGCAGATGCTCAACTACAAGATACTAAGTACGCGATTAGTAGTAGTAGTAGTAGTAGTAGTAGTAGTAGTAGTAGTAGTAGTAGTAGTTACTAGCATATCTAGATACACAGTAGTCTCAATAGAGCTTGAGTAAAGAAAATCTCCGACATACTCGTTCTGTATGTAGTCAGTGCTCTCTCAGCTCGAGCTCGAGCTCGCACTCAGCCTTATGAGACGGCGGATGGGTGGGTTGTGGATGGGGGGGATGTGGGTTAGTACTGAGGAAAATATGGAGTTATCACACGGTAGGATAGATAGATAGTATGTCAGATATTGATTAATAGCTAACGGTAGATCCCATGTTTCACTACGTACGGTAGTATGTCTTACACGGAATACCGATTGGACCACTGCAGTAGTATTTATTCTCTAGATGATTGGTGTACATAAGTACGAAGTAGTAGTAGATGACTCCATATGTGTGGGTTTGATGTATTCCATACTACTCCGTTCTGCATACTCCATACTCCATACTCAGTTGTTGCGATGCTGCTATATATCACATTGCTATACTTGATCGGGACAGAAGTGAGCGAAAATAGAAACGCCCTGCATGGGCTGATGTGCTGCACACACTGCCTTACTTCGGTGGGTGATACATGTGTCATCTGTCATGAAGCTGGATTCGATCTCCACGGGGTCGCGGCGAGACATGTAACCGGCATACGTAAATCAGCAAATTAAGTCCCCAACAGAAAGACACGCGTTTGATAAGCAACTTCTATTCATGTCTAGTAGATGGAGCAAAAGACGGCTGGAAAAGTGGATAATGATACGCATCACAAAAATGCCAAGAACATTTCCCATACATCGCTTTCAATGAGCCAAAGAGCAAAAAGAAAATTGGTAAAATAAGTTAAATAGATAGGACAAGAAGTAAAAAAATGACGAAATATGGCTCCCGTTGATCGTAATCAGATCTCTAAACAAATCTTTTGGCCCTGGAATCATTCAAGAAAAAAATTAAAACCCGCGTAATTCTAATAACATTTCAACCCTTTACTGCGCCTGGCTCTTGGCGAAAACCTGGGCGCCGTCAACCAGCCGACGCTCGGTGTTCTGTCTACCGTTGACGAAGTCAGGGTAGTTAAGGGTCAGCTCGACAGCGCCGTTGACAATGTTGTCAACAGCCTCAACACCGAGCATGAAAGAGTGGTCCTGGTTACCGACCTCGTAGCGCCAGCTACCGAAGCGACCACGGGTCCAGATGTCCTTCTCCTGGAGTCTGGGCAGGATCTGGGTAAGAGCACCCTCACGCTCCAGGGAGGGGGTGGGGTAGCCGTGGTCGAAGCGGCGGTGGTAGGTGGAGACAATCTCATCGGTAGGCTTCAGCATCTCGGTGTTGACGAGACCCTGGATGCAATCAGCCAGGAGAGTCTCGTGGTTGACAGGCTTCATCGAAGACTCGGAAACCTCCAACATGATGGACCAGTAAGGACCCTCCTGAGCCTCAGTGCTCTGGGGCTTAGAGCCATCCGCAAGCTGCAGAGTGGGAAGCTTCTTGGAGCCCTCGGGCTGGTTGTGGGGGGAGTAGTTGGAGAAGATGGTGGCACGGTAGAAGGGGCAGTTGTCCTCGGGGAAGTAGAGCTAGTAACGAGCATGTTAGTTTTGAAGTCATTCATGGTTTCCATCCAAGGTCAACTTACCCAGCACTTGTCACCGATTCTCTCGGGGCGGGTACCACGGATACCGACACCAATGACGTGAGTGGAGGAGTAGAAGAGCTGCTTGGTGAGGCCAACGAGCTCCTGGTCGCCGATCTGCTCAGCGAGGAAGTCGACAGCCATGGTGGAGACGAGCTTCTTGTAGCCGACAGTGGTGCCATCACCCAGGGTGACGGTCTTGTTGTTGGCATTGACCTTGACGACCTTGCCCTTCTCACCGAAGCGAGTCTTCTCCTTGGGGATAGTGTCGGCGACAGCGATCCAGATACCACCGGTACCACCACGGGCGGGGAAACGGAAAGTAGCGTTAGGACCCCAGTTACCAGCGGTCTTGTTAAGGATAACGTTGGTCGTCACGGCCTTGACGTTAGGGGCAGCGACACGCTCACCCAACCAGGCACATTGCATCTAATGAGAATCAGCACGCCGTTACTTGCCATGTGGTACATTGTATCTTACCTTGGTCGTAGGCACAGCCCAAACCTTGAAGTTGTAGGGTCTCATGAAGAGGTCGGCGATACCGACACCCATCTGGCGAACAATCCACTCATCGAAGTTCTGGGGCTTGGTGTTGGCGACACGAGCCTCAAGGGCAGCGTCGATCAGGCCATCGATACAGCGGACCTGCTCATTCTTGGGAAGCATGGAGATATTGTTCTGGAAGGGGTAGGGAACCCATTGGCCCTGGCAGCGGACGTAGGAGATACGCTGGTGGGTGTACCAGTCGTCATCCTTGGGGAGAGCCTCGTTGATGCAGTCGTCGAAGTACTTGTAGTGGGAGAAGATGACGTGACCACCAACATCGAAGAGCTGTGATTGTCACGAGTCAGTCGCTGTTTGCTTGACTAGTGCAATGCCTGCCCATTGAGGGGAAAGTGGGAATCAACATACGAAGCCTTCGGGGGTCACATCGGTGGAAGCGAGACCACCAGGGGTCTCGTTGCTGTCAACGATCAACCAAGAGGGGCCATCCTACACCCGCGAATTGTCCAATTAGCCTTTATTCGAGTGAAGGTATACGATAGGGGGCGCGCAATGCGTACAATCTGGTTAAGACGCTTCGCGGCACCGAGACCAGTAGGGCCGGCACCAATGACGAGAACGTCGACGGAGCTGAATTCAAGCACAAAGACAACGGTCAGCAATTGTTCCAATGAGCTTCTTGTTGTAGTGAAGGCAAGCTTGCCGTTGGAGGGAGGGGGAAAGGTCTCCTTACATATCGGGGTGGGTCATCCTGCCTTGTAGAATATCCTGAAAGCTGGGGACACGGTTCAAAGTCCTGCGGGCGAGGCTGAGCATAGAAAACGAGCCTTGTGAAGCTGCAGGGACAGCAGAGTTATAAGGAGAGAGATGAGAGGGGAGGAAGAGAGAGAGAGAAGAGAGGTTGGTGATGGAGGGAGCAAGAAGGGGAGGGAGATGGGCGGGAAGGTATAGGTGTATCCGTCCTGCGGTCGGTCGGGAAAGCGAAACGTGACAAGCAAGCGGTGGGGGGCGCTTGGAATCGGTTTCAAGTTTAGGCCCTAATAGATCAAGCAATCGGATTATCGGATTTCCCCAAAAAAAGTCGACTAATAATTAATAGCAATACGTGTCGCCGAAGCCCCAGTCGCGGAGCCTTGGAAAAGGGGCAAAGGGGACAAAGCTAATTTCCAACCCCAATCAATCCAAATCATCCCTCATCTTAAAGGTCTGGAGGACGCATGGGTCGGGGCTGATCGATTCATGCAATCATCATTCATTCGTTCTGGGTAATTTTAAAAGAAGTAAAAAAAAAAGTACACGAAGATAAAAATATCATTTTAAATAAAATAAACCAAAAAAAAATATTCCGGGTTGCCAACCATTGATACACCTTTCCTTGCGCCATCTGCGCGTTTGCTGCTTTTTCGTTGGATCATAGCTAGGCAATCGTTCCGTAGCCCAGCAGGCAAATAGCCATTTCTAGCCCATGAACGCATCAAAATGTTCAAGAATAGTATCCGATTGCGTCCAGCCAGACGCCTACTACCGCAATAATCAAAATTCCGCTGATTCCGATCGTACGATTGGCCCTTGTTGTCGCACTGCTTATCGTTATATCTGAATGCAGCATCATCACCACCTCCCCCAAGTCCGGCGTCAAAGCTCATCCACCTGCAAGCACTGTGATACGGGATCCATGGGGTTTTCTCGGCAGGCACCGGCCTGCCAGGGGCTATCGTCTAGTGGAATGCATGCGCGTTGCTCATTCTTGGTTTTAAGGGTCTCTAGCTTCTACGGCCTACGGAGTCCTAGCATCTGCTTTTCTCCGTAGAGCTCCATCCGCTGGCGGAGCGACGGTTGCCGTTTACCAAGAACGGTAATGCAGTTCGGCGATGGATCTTGTGTACCCCACGAGAGCATCATGAATTCCGTTCGATAGATCACTGCTGCCGTCTGGTTTCTCATCTTCTGGACCCTCGGATATATACGAAACTTCACACTCAGAAGAGGGGGCTAGGTCTAAGCTCACGGGAAAGACATATACCACTAACGGAAAACCGTGGGCAGTATGTATAACAATCCCGTGCAACTGATAGCCCGATCACCTTCATCAAAAGCTGCAGGCAAGTCATAAGAAATGAGCTGTGTATCCATTGTGTACGCACATCCCTGCTGAGCGGCCAACCAGGCACACCCTACGACCAGTGGCAGTCGATTGCCTCCTGCGCAAGGTACTACTTACTGCGTATCTAGTACTCCGCAGCGGCGTGGACCTGACCTAACTGGTCCAGGAGGATGTCGATGGCGAGCATCGGCAACACGGATCGTCCCCTATTTGACGGTCTGTCAACTTCAGGGTAGATAAGTAGGGAACACATGAGCCGGGCAACAGTTGAACGGCTCCACTCGTTGTCCTTCTTGAAATGGAAAGACAAAGAGGATCGTTTTCCAGAAGCGCACACAACGGTTATCAGCTTAACCTGTCTGGGATCTGAGATGCAAGCAGATGGAGTTGTCACCCACTCAGGGACTAAGGGACCAAATACACACTAACAAAAGCTTCAATTTTCGCCCCCTGAGGCTTTCGTAATTCGGCCCTCCTGTCAATGCCCTTATTTCTGACGGACGCGCAAGCAGCGAATCCTGGTCAGAACTTTGCATGGACATCTGTCTGCTATTGATTGAACCATACAGTAACCATGGCCAGACCGAGAACACGAACAATCAATATTGTCGACCAGGACCCGAAGGATGGTACACGTCGGCACGGGACTCCATACAACAGAACTATCCGGACCCTCGTGGGTCTGGGAAAGAGTCCCTGAGGGAACGGGCAACCTAAGGACGGCTCCGTCGTACCATTTGCTCTAAACGCCATTGAACCATGGTGATGGCGTCAGGCCCCTCAGCCATCAGATCGCCGCATTCCCCACCCGCAAGGGACCTTTGCGGCGGCGCTATGAGCAAGTGGCCGCTGAACGCGGGTAAGACAGTGCTTGGCCTAGCGGGCTGCTTGCGTAATGCATCCTGCACCAAACCAGCCGGTGTTAATTTTGATCAACAGTGATTGTCGCAAGTCGGTGTTGATGTGTCCTCCCCCTCCATTAACATTTCTTTTGTTCCCCCCCTCCCCCCTTCTACGTTCTTATCGGACACAATCGGGATTCGATCCTGAAGGAGTCTAGATGAGTTCTCAATCAGCAGATAGTAATTGCCCATTTGTCGAACCAGAATTATTAAATAGGGGGGTGAAGACGAGAAGATAAAAAAATAGGCAAAGAGCCAAAAAGAGAGTAGATGGCGTTGCCTACCAAGGAAAGTCGCTGGGGAGGGCTCCATAATGGTAATAACCAGAACAGCCTATCTCTAGCCAGAGCGAGCGGAAAAGGGGCAACAACCAGCGACTACTGGGCGCCCCCCCCCGATGGTGGAGACCTGGAGATTGACACCAACCACCAGCGCTCGCCAGGACAGCAGAACTCGCCACGAGAGTGATGAGCATTTGCCTCGCCCCACGGCCGTACCGAGAGATGGTTTCAAGGTCGTCCATCCACTCGCAGATTGCAATTAGACAGCAATATATCGAATACGCATTGAGAATCGCGGTGAGGGTCGGGCAAACACCGGCAGCATCGAGAATAGAGATAATGATGCAGAAGACTCGCAAGTCAATGATGATGGGAACGGACAGGAAGTATAAAATAGAAGTCGATAGTAGATAGTTGACGACGTTTGCAGAATGCAGATGGACTGAATCTTTTGGACGAACCGAAAGAGGTCTGGAACTGGCAAATGTTTTGTTACGATTTGTTCATACCATTTCCGTACCCGGCAGCTTGGTTGTGCAAGCAGCAGTAGTTGGGGAGAATTATTTAGTAATAACCAAGCCATTACAGTACTGAATTCAAATTGTGGCCATTGCCAGGACAATTTGCTGCAATACAGTGTATGTGCCGGGTCTCCAGCCCGCTAATTTTTTCGCCCCTCGTCACTCCACTTTTGGCCTCCACCGCGATGGGCTTGTTCTTCCCAGCCTAGAACTCGAAACTGCCCGTCAGAACCACTGGTGGTGTTTCACCTGCTTCGGCGTCCATGGGGTAGCATACGAATGGTATCTAATTATAATTCTCCAGCAAATCTTGGTAATATATGCACAATATACCAGTTCGGAGAGTATAATACTATCAACTGTTATTTCATGTGCTCAATTTGAGACCAGGCAAGGCAGATAGATAGATGGATGCAGAGAGACATCAAGTATTAAATCGGCAAGGTTAAAATTGGTTCTTATCTAGTACCTTTCAATTAACTAACTAAACTAAATGCTAGCATTATCACACTGACTCTGGTTCCGGTTCATTCCTCCCACCCCCCACCAACCAACCCGTCCGCCCACAGGTTAGGAAGAAGCAGTAGAATGCATGCCAGCCGCTAAAGTTTGGGGATTCAGGTCCGGGTCCAGAGGGAAACTAACTCCTAGTCCAGTATGTAAGTTGACGGTCAGCGCAGTACTACCACTACTGCTAGCTAGTTGTAAATTGTGAGAAAGACGGCCAACGAACGACATATCGTGTCCTGAGCCACGATCTTCCCTCTCGGTGTTGATGCGGACCCAGCCCTCTCTCTCTTGTCTTTCTCTCTCCGTCGCTCTTAACACTCTCCGTCTCTTCACTTCCCTGACTCTCTCCTCTTCGGCACCCCCCTAAATAATTTTACTTGCGCTTCCCGAGCCGTCTCTTCACTCCCGCTGCCATCCCACAGGAAATCCAGCCGTAAGTAACCTCTCTTCTTGGTACCCTGTTTGCTTACCCGAGAGTTGAAAATTACCTCAACGGACCCCCCCATCAACCAAACAGCCCCCTTCGTCCTCTCCTCTTCCCTCTTCCCTCTTCTCTCCTCCAACCCCGATCATTCTTCTTCACACCCGTTCTATTCTCATTCACTCTCTTACTATCCTTTTCTTGTCCAACTCTAGTCTCACTCGTTTCCAGACTTTTTAGGCTTATCGACTTCTTTATCCACCTTTCTCTGCCAACCATTCCTTTTTCTCTTCACGTCCTTTCTTGACAACCGTTACCCGTGGCCTCCGCCAAGTTCGGACAAAGCAGCCTTTTACGGCCGCGACCTTTTGAATTTCAACGTTTCTTATCCGACCAGACTCGCACCTTCACAATGTCTGAGGGCGAAAAAGCCAGAACCTCCGGAGAGGTCTCTCGTCCGGAGCCTACCCTGCCCACCGTCAATCCGGCTGTTGATAAGGCAGAGCCCCCGAAGCCTGCCTTCCACCCTGCTGTCTATGTCGGGTAAGCTACACCAAGATTGAAGGACTCGAATGGAAAGAGTACTAAGATAAAATCAGTGTCTGGATCACTTTGAGTTCCAGTGTTATCTTGTTCAACAAGCATATCCTTGATTATGCCCAGTTCCGTAAGTTCTACACTCGGTGGCTCTGATTCTGGTGACCTTATCGCTAATTGTTCTCTCTGTTCCTAGGTTTCCGTACGTTGCTCATAACTCATCTCGATAGCGTCCAGCAGTCCAACTAAAGACATCTAGCTATCATCCTCACAACATGGCATTTGGCATTTGCGACCTTCATGACCCAGCTTCTGGCGCGCACCACCACTCTGCTCGATGGACGGAAGACCGTGAAGATGACTGGCCGTGTCTACCTTCGTGCTATTGTTCCGATCGGTCTTTTCTTCAGTCTGAGTTTGATCTGCGGTAATGTGACTTATCTGTATCTGAGTGTTGCCTTCATCCAGATGCTCAAGGTCAGTCGTTCCATGTCGAGCAAGAGTTTCCCTTGCTGACTTCCCCCTCAGGCTACTACCCCCGTTGCTGTTCTTTTCGCTACTTGGGGTATGGGCATGGCTCCTGTCAACCTCAAGGTCCTGATGAACGTCAGCATTATCGTGCTTGGTGTCATCATCGCCTCTTTCGGTGAGATCCGCTTTGTCTTCATTGGATTCCTTTTCCAGCTCGGTGGTATTGTCTTCGAGGCCACTCGTCTGGTCATGGTTCAGCGCCTGCTCAGCTCTGCCGAGTACAAGATGGACCCTCTTGTCTCCCTCTACTACTTCGCTCCTGTCTGTGCTGTCATGAACGGTGTCACTGCTCTCTTCCTTGAGGTCCCCAACCTTACCATGGGCCACATCTACAACGTTGGTGTCTGGACATTGCTGGCCAATGCCGTTGTTGCTTTCCTCCTCAACGTTTCCGTTGTCTTCCTGGTAAGAAAACCTTTTTCGCCGCGTTGCTACATGGGGATCAATTTACTGACGCATCCACACAGATTGGCAAGACCTCCTCCCTCGTCATGACCTTGTGCGGTGTCCTCAAGGATATCCTTCTGGTCGCTGCTTCCATGATGATCTGGCAGACCCCCGTCACCCTCACTCAGTTCTTCGGTTACTCGATTGCTCTCGTTGGTCTCGTCTACTACAAGCTTGGCGGTGACAAGATCAAGGAGTACACTGGCCAGGCCAACCGTGCCTGGGCTGAGTATGGAGTTAACCACCCCGCTCAGCGCAAGTTCATCGTGTTCGGTGCTATCCTCCTCATCTTCTTCCTGCTCATGGGCTCCATGGCCCCCAGCTACGCCCCCGAGCAAGTTGCCAGTGTCAAGGGTATGCTCGGTGGTGCTACTGCTGGAAATGCCTAAAGGACCGATTAGAAGTCCAGGTGGATCCAGCCATGCGCCTGCCTTAATACTCAGGCGCCGTCTGAGGTGAGCCAGGAGTGGTAGCTTATGTTGATGGGGAATGGGGACTGGAGAAGGTCCCGGGGGGCAAAAGTTCTACCCGCGTGTCACGTTCGCTTTTCTTCCGCCATACTTGGATACGTATGGTGCTCTACTGTTATTAAGGATAATATTTCATCTGCCGGGGTAGTTCTTTACGAATTGGGATGCGGGGTGCATCTGGGCCGGCCACATGCGGGGAATGCAGCCGGGCCCAGAAGACACGGTTGATACGACATGGATTTCGAATCCGACGGGGCTTTCACAATTATTCGTTTCGCGACCCTGTTTTTTCTTCTTCCTTTTACCATTTATTTTATTAGAAGGATTTTTGTCGGTGTATTGCTCGCGATTTGGCTCGATGACCATTTGTGACGTGTGAAACTAGCAGGAAGTTCAGGTGTCGGATATCATTTTCGCGACCTTGTTTGCTCGTCATCCCATTCTCCTGTTACTATAGGATTTTTCTTTTTGATTACTTTACGAGGGGAACCTTCTCATCAACCGAATAGAATTTCGTCAAGTTTCAGTGTTTGCTTCGAATTAGTGCCTGAGGCATCATATGGTAGAGTAGGGGCTAGCCGGGCCAAGTTCTGGCTAACTTACTACTAAAGTTCCGTGGCTGGCAACCCCCTGGTCAGTCAGCAGTCAGTGCGGGCCTTTAGGGTTGAGCCAATCACGGCGCATCGAAAGCCTCGGGCTTGAGCTGAGTGGTTCAGCCAATGGCCTTGCATCCAGTGAGGGCGGCCGCGCGGACGAGGCGTGCCAATTGAGCCAATGAAAATGAGGTTTAGCGAGTGGAACCCACCCCATCGTTGCCCGGGACGATTCCCCCTCGACCAATAATGAGCGCATCCTTGCCGGTTGATCTGAGCCCGGTGGATCCCGTCACCTGTTACTGTACGGTATGGTATGCAGTCACGCCAAGGGGTGCACAATTCCTGCGAAACTCTCAGACCTCCCGCGGAAATGGCAGGCGTCACAAGCGTATGGCACGGTAAATACACGGGTCTGGCCAATGGCAAATCCTGCTCTCCGCAATGATGAATGGAGGATCGCAAGGCGCATCCAAAGAAGCTCCGATCACACTGACTTCTCGCTCTCTCGTCCGCATCCGTCAGCTTCTGCTGCTTCTTCTTCTCCTCCTCCACATCTTAGCCGGTGATCCCGTGGTTCGCTTCTTCGTTTCGGCTGCGCATCTTCTCCTTCCTCCGTTTATCCTCCTTCCATCCATCTCTCTCTCTCTCTCTCTCTTCTTTTCTTCCCTTTCTCCCTCTCCTGCACGTCGTTCTCACTGTATCTTGGGTCAATCTTCCCATCTCATCTTGCTCATATCCTTACCTCTTGATACCCTTCATCCTTATATTCCATATCTCCCATCTCGTACCCTTCCATTGTCACCTGCCTGCCTGCCTCTCTTCACCCTTTTGCGCATCACCTCTCGTCCTCTCCTTTGGGTGCCACACCATAGCTTATATACACAGCTTGGATCGCAAGATCCATAGGTTGCTCTCGTTCTTCATTTCTAGCTCACTGGACAGACAGAACAGGCTCCCTTTCGCTTCAATCTCGTAGTCGCTTCATTCGACCACGCCTTCGCATTCATCACCATGTGCCCAATGCTGCTGAACGGTCTCTCTGATGGCCCGGCGATGGTCCTATCCCCTCCCCAGGACCACGCTTTTGTTCAATTCCCTCGCCAGCCCAAGTTCACCCACGACACAGAGTCGCGGTCCTTCTTCTCCAACAACAACAACCCCTTCCAACCATCCAGACCCTCCCGCAAGAGGTCGCGTGACGAAGACTCCTTCGAAGAAGCCATGAATGGAAGCAGCACTCCCATGTCCATCGTGGCTGCTTCTGCTCCGCAACCCAGAAAGCAAGAGGTCGAAGAGCCCATCTATGGCGAAGGCATGGTTCTCCTCAACCCTCGCACCAAGATGGCCATCTCAGCAGAAAGCCAAACTGGCACGTGGTATGAAGAGACCGTCGAGAATGTCACCACCGCTGCCCCGGTCTCATCGCGTCGTTCCGGCAGTCCATCTGCTAGCCGTAAAGCTCAGCGTCTGGATCCCGCTGCTTCCAATTTCGACGATATCACCCTCTCCTCCATTCAGCGCAAAATAAACACCGACCAGCAAGACGACAATCGCCGAATCCTCAACGCGGGTAACCGCTCCGAAGAACCCACTGTCGACGACGCTACGCGTCTCCTCGGGATCAGCTGGCAGCGGATTGCGACCGATGACGCCGATATGGCGGCTGCCGTGCGCGGCTGGAAGAAGTACATTGATCGGCAGTTCGCGACGTACCTGGCCGATTCACAGATCCTCTTGAAGAACCGGGCGCTGAATGCCTATCTTGTCACCGCACGACCAATGACACCAATCGGGGTTTCCCCTACACCGGCCTTTTATCTTTTTAACGATGACCTCACCCAAGGACAGCTCGTGGGTTCCACATGGGAAGCCTGCCTCATGAACCTTCGCTCGTCTCCCATCGTTTTCGAAGGTACACAGATTCTGAATGCCGCAGACAGGCCGCTCAACAACGGCATGGCCTCGATGGGAGCTCAGAACCTGCTGGGCGCGAACCCGGTAGATTCAGGTCTTCCACTCCTCCAGACTCTCTGTGCCCAGCCCATGAACCACGGCAACGGCATGGGGTTGAACAATAGCGTAGGAATGGGAACGGGGATGGAGATCGACGCGTAAGCCATTGGCAGCAGTCTTATCAGCAGCAGAAAAGGCACTCTCGACGCATAACACCTCACGCCTCGAACAAACATCCCGATCGACCAACGAACTCGACGGACAGATAGCGGAAGCGACTTTCAACTTCGACCGAAACCGCTCTCATCCCCTCCATTTCGGCAGCAAAATTTCTGATTTCCGCTTTACTTCTTCATCTGATGGTCGTGTGTCTGTCATATTCGCCTCGCCATCGTAATTAAAATTCGGATTTGACATATGTTTGTGGAACATTTCTTTCCTTTTCTTTCTTTGGGTTTGATCTTTTTCTTTCTTTGGCGCAAAGGGTTGGTGGTGGGATGGCTGGGAATGGGTATGGTCATGTGGCCGGTTGGGTCACATGGGGTTGGATCAGTTGCTGCTTTTATGGTTTCATTTCAATTTTTCTCCTTTTGGTTCTCTGATTGTTGATATATATTTGCCATTTTCACATATCGTCAAGACTTGGAAAGAAACAATGAATGAAAGAAAAAAATGTATCAAGATAATACTTTTCTATGTTTTGGTTGTATGGAGAGAGGAGTGAATATGTGGGAGGGGAAGTAGCAAGTGGCGGTCAAGATCGCCAGCCAGCTTTTGCCAGATACAGACTTAGCCATAATAGGGCTCATGAATCTCCTCCCAGAAACACCACCTCCAAACTGCCCACCAGCCTCTCCTGCCCTTCATCTCGCGCCATCAACCACTACATGGCCCATCCTATTGATGTGAATCCTTGGTTTCATAAGAGACAAGGATTGAACTAATATACAACATAGTTGCCGTCCTTATCAGTCTCGTGGGCATTCCGGGCCCAACTTAGCTCACGGGTCTGGTTTCCACCCAGGTAAACCCTTTGTCATCCTCCCGAATAGGCTGTGCCTTCTGCACTCCGAACAGGGAATCAATGTCCTCGAGACTCAAGTTAGCTGTTTCGGGATAGTAGAAGTACACGATCTGAGACGTTGGCAAACATTCATCAGCAGGCCGGTGGCGCTATGGGGGGATCGGAATGTGTGTCCCGAACTCACCGGTATAAAGGCGAGGTTAAAGGCGACGAAGATGAGATACCCTTTCCATGCAAGGTCTCGGATCAGCGTCGGAGATATCATGTTCACGAAAAAGCTCCAGAGCCAGTTAGCCGAAATTCCGATGGCTTGCCTATTTGCGGTGCTGAGAGTTAGCCCTACTCCAAATCAAAGTGGCCCGCCACCGGTTGGAATGGGGTGAGTGTCCTGGCCTACCCTTTTGTCCGGACATGTTGGGGCAGTAGCTCTGGCCCGTATACCCATGGTATGCAATTAATCGTGGCCCCATAGATGAGCATATACAGAAAGAAGAAAGCCACGGAGGCCGTAGCGGTCGACTTTTCCAGGTTCGTCCCTGCCGGTGCCGGGTGTTAGATCAATTCCCTAACTCTGTACTCCGAGCCATACGCCGGGCTTACCTTTGAAGGACAGAAGAATGGAGATCATGAGTAGGCATACGAAGAGGCCAAAGGATCCCCACATCATTGGGCTCCGCCGTCCCAATCGATCGGAGTAAAAGATGGGATAAAAAGCACCTACGGTAACACGATCAGCGCTCTGTTGCTGCGGTGGGGATGGGCCGGAATTCCTCAGCACCTATGACAAACATCAATTGGATCACTCCACTGAGCAATAAACTCAACTTGGCGTCGAGGCCCACGTTATCTTCAAGGACTAGGAGTAGGCATGTCGTCAGCCATTGATCGGACATCACAGGGAGGAATGACCGTTGGTTTTACCTGTAGTGACATAGGTCTGGAGCATGGAGTTAGCTTCTGAACTGCAGTACTCTTGAGGTCCACTTACGACAATCAAGGGAGCCCCTCCCATCTGGTTCGTAAACTGTAGCCCATACGCCAGCAAGATTCGTCGACCCGTATGAAGCTCATCTTTCTTGAAGATCTCTGACCACTTATACTCTGGACGACCATCATCTATGGCCCTGAAGATATTTTCAGCCTCCTGGGTCACTGTTGGATGATCTAGTGGTAGATCATAAAAGTCGCTTAGAACTTGCAAGGCCTCCTGCCTCCTATGCTGACGGCACAACCACCGAGGATTCTCCGGAAGTCTGTCCAACAAAAGTGAGATGACATGCTCAGCTCGGACAACGCGTGGCAGTCCAACTTACCCTAAGATCAATATGATAACGAGAATTGCGATGATCACTTGACTGGCGATGGGCAGCCTCCAGTTGATAGGTCCATCCACATAGCTCATACCATAGTCGTACCAGTACGCAATGGTAATACCTACACCGACAGCGAGAGGTTGAGTGCAGACATACATTCCTCGTTTGCGTGCTTCACATAATTCCGCTTGGTACACCGGCACGGTCGTTGTCATGATGCCAATTCCAATCCCAGTGAAGAGCCGGGACACCAGCAACTGCGCTTTGGAGTAGGAGCTGGTCTGGACCGTTGCCCCAATCTGTAAAGCGCCATTAGCATCTGCATGTGAAAAGTGAGTCTGGGGAGACACATACTATAATTATACACATCGCAAGCCACACGGACTTTCGAAAACCTAAATTGTCACTTGTCAAGAAGGCCACCGCTGTGCCAAGGAGACAGCCTAGATTGTATATAGACACTATAATTCCCATTACAGCCGTAGTGGGATGGTGGACGATGGAGAGGAAATCAGCGTTGTTAATAATCCCAGAAAATACTGCCTGGTTGTAGCCTATCCATGACAAAACTGAGGGTCAACATATACTGCACCCTAGGCGCGTTCATCAGGTATCTCACCGAATAAGGCGAATGCTGCTTGGCAGGTGAACATGATGGCCAGCCGAAGGCTGAGCCCCCGTCCGTACATATTGATTCTGACCATAATCGCAACCGTGGGAACAGAGCGAGGAAGGTCAGCGACTGAAATCGAACCTCAAGCTAAATGTATACTGGAAGTACGATATTTATATATGTACTTAGTGGGATCCCATCTTCGTCATTAACCGCGAAAACCAGGGGGGTCAAGACTTCTGTGGACCCGTGGCACACAGATTTGGTGCGCAGGAAGCGCAATAGTCTGAATAGTTCTCCTCATGATGAGGTAGTATCCCCATCGGATATCTGAAGCCCCAGTAACCCATTGTAGATCGACGCAGGATCCTCCATACCAAGGACCGGTAAATGCCGCAATAGGATGGAGAACCGGACCTGCAACAAGAACCAGCGAGTCAGACGACGGGTTGCTAGCATTCAACGATACGACCTGCCCACCTTGTACATTCCTCAGGGTCTGCGGAGGATCGACTTCCGACTGGCACAAGGCTAGGAGAGTTCGAATATCATTTCCAGGATAGATATATCACCACCACACACCATGACTCATATGCAGCATCAGCACATAGAAGCAGTTACAGGAGTCCAAGTGTAGATCGATGTGCTTCAGCTGTCGTATATCGAAAAGACCCCCTCCAACAGCAGGCAGTTGAACTGTACGCACAAACTCGCACCATCAAACTCCCAGAATGGGGAGCCCCTTGCCTTAATTCTGCCGGGATCGTGAAAGTCACAATCTAGGCAGCTCAAAAACCTATTAATAGTTCCAAAATTATTGACATTCTGGGTTGCTAACAGGGCCATAGTGACGATGGTATTGATGGAGCCTCCTGAGAATAGGGTTTTGCTAGGCTTTGTCTCCAAGTGGTGAGTTACCACACACCCACCAATGGGGGATTAATGTTCGAGACCGAAAAGAGGGGAAGAGATACAAGGTTTGATGGCATAGATAATGCAGCCAGTGGAGTGTATGAATCTGGGATAAGGTGGGGAGATGAAGTTGCAGACTACGCATTTCGTCTCGTTTCGATGCCTGCTACACGTGATATCGGCCTCAAAATGGCAAGACAAGCAACAAGGAAAGAACCAAGCGAGTTAGATCATATGCCCATCACTCGCTTTTCAAGATTTAAGCCTGGAATGACTGGGTATCAAATTCCCGTCGACTTGGCGCCGGACTCTATGTACATGCCTTGCGGTGAAATACAACCCTGCTATCATCGCAACTTTAATCACTGCCATAATCGCTCCCCTCGTCATAATAGTCACCATAGGTTCCAGCAAGCGCCGCGTCAACTCCGTCATCCTCCATGTCATCCTCGTCGTCGTAGTCATCCTCTTGCTCGTCATCCGAGTACTCGTTCTTTGCTCCATCTGCGGGACCGAGGACTTGCTCATTCTGACTCGCTTTCCCACCTTGATCCGTCAGGGCCTGAGCAGCAGGGGCCACTGGGCCACGCGCCGGACCCGCGGTAGAGGAAGAAGCACCAGCAGGTTGGCCACTTGAGGGGGTTGCAAGCCGGGTACGCCTCGAGGCCGCCTCTGGCTCGATACTGGCGCTGCGGCGTGACACAACACTTTGGCTGCGACTCTGGCTTCGGCTCAAACTTTCTTCCTTAGGTTTGGAGGCCTCGTCGGCCCCTTCATCGCCAAATAGTGACTCCAAAAGACGATAGTTGATCTTTTTACTGAACCCTCTTCTCTCCAACATCCGACGGGTAGCTTCGGCAGGGGTGGAAGCCCGAGTGCTGCGGCCATCGGCGTCTTCACCTTCGCCTTCAAGATAAGTAACGTCGCCCAGTCTACCGCGGCGGCGTTTCCGCGGCTTGTGCACGCGACCGTCCGCGCCAGGGTGGGAATCGGCCTCGGCCAGAGCTCGCTTGAGCGCTTTAGCTTGCTGGGTCCTAAGATAATCTTTGTTCTCATGGACCCAGATCCGTTCTTTAATCTCAACTTCCGCAGGAGAAAGCAAACAGTTAGACACCTCCGGATCCGATTCAAACTCCGCAGCGTCGATCTCTGTATTGTCAGAGACGACCTTCCTCGGAGGACCGGCACTGGTGTCAAACATGTTCGATCCTTTGGACAACAGCGCGGTCATTTCATTCTCCAAGGCCTCCTCCGATGCAATTTGATCTGGTGAAGGTGCTGGAAGCGGGGGTCTCTTCGGACCTTTCTGGCGAGCAGACTTGGTGTGCTCCTCGCCAGCATCCGAAATGGTTTCGCTTGCAGCAGAGGCAGTCGATTGGCGACGTTGACCGCTGCTGGCTGCTAATAATGCCGGATCAATAGGAAGACTAGGAATAGCGAACCCGTCTGAGTCGACACGCCTATGTTGTTGTGCTTCCTGTATATCACTCTCCATCTCGGCAGCCGTTTCCGTGGGCCGTCTCTTGAAAGAGCGTGATGGCTTTCGTCCTTCTCTAGCCCTGGCAAAAGAAGGTGGGTCATGCGCGTTTTCCAGCTGCACGGAACGAAACTGGTCGACTGTAAGTTCACCACTTTCGGTGGAGCTGAACTCGTTCAAACGCTGGCTAATAGTGATCTCGGTGACCTTGACGACGTAGACAACCTCTCGAACAGTGCGACGAAAGTTGTTCATGCGGGCTGCAAGAATCAAGGCGGCACCACAAATACCAGCGGGACGACGACCTGTCGTCATCCAATCGCGGTTCATCCGCTGTACGATACGGACCGCCTCGCTCGCCACTTGCATGGTAGCCGACCCAAATTCAAGCTGTTTGGCAAATCTGTAGATCAAACTCTCCGGGTCAATCGGATTCATCAGAAAGACATTACCACCTAGACGCAACTCGTCAAGTAGTGCTTTGTAGGTCCGGCCTAGCTTGAAGACGTTGATCATTAGAACGTCGGCAAAATCGATGAGCATGATAGTGTTGCCATCCTGGCGACGACAAGCAATATATAAACACACAGCAGCTACAGTCTTGGTCCTTCGACCTTGAATGAAGTTCAACCCGACTGCCAGCTTGAACACCTGACCAGCAGCCTTCATGGCACTCTCTGGGATAGTCAAGGCACGAGATAGCTGAGTGATGTAGCGGTTACCGTTTTGTTCCGTAATCTCGCGGCTTTCGGCGCCTCCACGCTGAAAGCCAGGGCCATAACTGCGGACATGGGATTGATCTTCGCCGACAAAGGTACCCTGAACGACTGCTGCACCTGACGACGATTCCCCGAAAGTAACCTCGGAGACGATGTTTGCTTCACTGATGACAGTACCACACCCGGAACAAACCTTCTGGCCGTCATCCTCTACGATGTGAGGGGCAGGACAGCCCGGGTTAGGGCAAGTTGAGGTTTTGGGGTGGGTAGTTGGCCTGGCAGGCTGAGGCCGAGAAATTGGCTGGGGACGCCTGATTGGAGTTGGATTGGGCGATTTCAGACTGGCTAGTCTTCCCATAGGTGGCCTTGGGCCGCCGCGTGGGGGAATGGGAGCACGCATCCCAGGCCTAGGGACGGACATTGTAAATGCGACGGGATGGCTCTGTTGGGGGGGTCGATGATGTCCACGAGCGGTGGTAGTAGGTTGGTCCAATAAGATGAAGAAGAATAGACAATTGATCACACAGGGTCTATCATGCCTATATGGTCCACACAATGATCCTGGACGAAGCGTGGTCCAATCGTCGAGCTGAAGGTGCAGCGACGAGCCAGACGGAGGGGCTATAAGAGCGAACAAACCGCACAAAGAACACTCCGGCGGGGTTTCAAGATGTTATCAGGGGGGGTTGGCAGAGGTGTTATACGGGTGAAAGATAACCAAAACCCCGTATTCACTTGACCAACTAGAAATAGTGAAGAGGAAATTGGGTATAGAAATCAACCCGCAGCTGGGGAGTCTAAGTAAAGGTAGTTGATGAAAGAGGGAAGAATGAAATGGAGGTGATTCATGTGGGCGCGACGCATCACCGACGTGAAAATTATGACGCGCCTGTCGCGGTGGTCCAATGGAAGAGTCACGTGGCCAGCTGTGTCTTGAAGGCCGTAAGTTCGTTTCTGCCTCATTCCTCACTGTCTCTCGTTCGAATCCCCGAGGAGGCATTTTCCGGAAATGCTTGCAATCCCCGTGGCAGGCTGGCTGACCTGCAGCTGCTTCAATACCCTTTTCGAACTATTTGGGGAAATTTCCCAGTCTATCTTATCTGTCACAGAAAAGGTATCCTGGTCAAAAGTCCGGTGGTACCGTTTCATTAGGCCATGTTAGGCTGTTTGCAGCTAGCTACTAGTACTATCTGCCAGTTTGCCCTCAGCTATTGAGAACCACAGCATTCTATAGTGAAAGAAAGTTACGTGCAAAGCTTCACTTCATAGTTTGTAAAAGTTGTTTCTATATATTTAGGCCAAGAAAATAGGCGTTTAAAGCAGCCTCCTCGATCAGCCGAATCTAATCTGGACGATCGCATCTTCAACTTCCTTCCATCTTCTCTTTTTTCCCCTGGGAGCTTAAACTGGGACCGAATCCACCAAAAAGATCCGCTAACTGCTTAGTGAGCCAATCCAGATCAACCAAATGCCGGAGCTTTAAAAAATTTCGCCACATATGTAATTCCCACTTTTGTCTAAACTCTCCTCCACAGGGATACTCGTAGTATCGGGAGATAATGCCGGTTTAACAGCGGAAGAATCGAATGGATCTCTACAATCACATGCGCCCACGATGGGGAAGTTTGATAAGAATTGTTCATCCAGGGGCATTTGGTACATATGACTTACATCACCTACACACAGTAACATTTCTTCTCCGTGGAGGGTGAAGTGGGTAAATGACTGGAGTGGAATGCGCCATTTGTGCGCGGCCCCAGAACATCCTCACTTCTTCTTTTGACGCACAAAACGCGCAGCTTTGCCTCCCTCCTCCCCCCCCTTCCCTGATCGAAGAACCCAGAAACATGATGTTAATGATGATTCATATTTCTTCCACTCTCTCCCTCCATCTTTTCTGGCCTATTTGTAGAGAGTTCGCCCTTCCTCACCCCTTACTTGTTGACTGTTGACTGAGCAATTGCGATCTGCAACCATAGGCGCCGCTGTCAGTAGGCAATACTCAATCTCAGACAGGAAAAGCAACATCTTACCTCGCAACTCTGTCCACTTGTCGCTCTCATTGCTCAAGAGGCTTTCCCCTGCGCTAATACGCCAGCGAGGCGTGTTGCATTAACTGTCTCGTCTTCGTGGGGGTGTCAAATCCCGGTTAGAGCTCCGAGTCTTTTGACATCAACTGGCAAGACCCGCCGTCGACGCCTTCTCTGTTTCTCTCTATCAAACAACTTTCTCTCCCTGCCTAAGCTCTCTTAGATTTAGACAGGCCTTGAGGCAGTGATTGAGCCTGTCTTTCCTTCCCTTTGCTTTTCTTTTTCTGCACCCTTCGACAATGTCGCCGACGGCAGCAGACACCAACTCTCGAGTTCCTGCTAGACAGGACTCGAGACTTCTCAGAAGCATATTCTTTGTCAGCAACATTCATTGCTCCTCTTGCGTCGCCTACATCAATGAAGTTCTATCGGACATTGATGGGGTGAGGGATATCGATGTGTCGGTTCTCACCCACGAAGTACGCGTCGTTCACAGCGCCGAAACAGACCCGTCACGCCTTGCTTCGGCTTTGGTTGAAGCTGCCTTCGAGGTTCACCATGTCACTACATATGAGCCCAGAGGATCAGTCATCTCGGAACTTGATACGACTTCATGGCTACCCCGCGACTCAGTGCTCTTCACTACCCAGCCTCACATCCACCGAGATCCAGCTCTGGGAAGCCGACATGTTGACAACTGTGACGCTTGCAGGAAAGAAGAGCTGGATAGCCTCGCGGCCGGCGAGGATTTGGCAGATGCTGCTCGCCGCCCTCGCGACCGCTATAGTGGCCTTCGAACGGGTGGAAAGCCCGGTCTAACCCAGTCAGAGGTACAGAGTCTAGTAGCCCGAGGGTCAGCCGAAGAAGGTACACCCGTGGAGCCGCCCAAGACGCCTCACGATTCGGAAGATGAGGAAAGGTTCAACGCTCGTGTGAGCATTGGAGGTATGAGCTGTGCTTCATGCGCAAACAGCATCACGAATGAAGTCAAAGAGTTAGACTTTGTCGAAGACATCATTGTCAACCTCCTTACCAACAGTGCTACTGTCATCTTTACTGGCCCGCAGTCAAACATCGACAGAGTTGTCGAGCAGATAGAAGATATCGGTTTCGAAGCATCGCTTGATGAGGTCAATATGATCAAAACAGCCCCGGCACGCAAGGAGGCCCCTTTGAAATTCGTCGCTGAACTTGCTATCGGCGGCATGACGTGCGGTTCGTGCTCCGGGGCAGTCACCCGAGGACTGGAAGAGCTTTCTTTTGTCACTACTGTTTCGATCAATCTTTTGACCCACAGTGGCAGAGTTGAGTTTGAAGGGCGTGATCATATTGATGAGATCGTGGAAAAGATCGAAGATCTCGGCTATGATGCCTCGGTCGATAATGTGACAGCCCTGGTGGCAGATAGCGATGATGAGCCTCTGGAAGAAAGGACACTGTCCATCCGTGTGGATGGTATGTTCTGCCATCACTGCCCTGACAAAGTTGTCAAGTCCTTGGAAGCTTTCCCGGATGTTAAAGTCGATGGCAACCTGTCCGTCAAGAATCCGATTCTTGCGGTTACCTATACACCAAAGCCACCCTCTCTCACAGTGAGGAGTATACTTCGGACAATCGAATCGGCTCACGATGCTTTCACTGCCACCGTTTATCGTCCTCCGAGCGTCGAAGATCGGTCCCGAGCTATGCAGCGCCACGAAAGACGCCGACTGTTCACCCGATTTATCTTTGTTCTGCTCGTGGCTATCCCCACGTTCATCCTGGGCATTGTATTCATGAGCTTGGTGTCGTCAAACAACAAGGTTCGCAAATTCCTGGAACAACCGATGTGGGCTGGAGATGCCTCGCGCCTCGAATGGGCCCTTTTTATCATGACAACCCCGGTCATGTTCTATGGTGCTGATATTTTCCACGTGCGTGCGATGAAAGAAGTCTACTCCCTTTGGCGTCCTGGAAGTCGTGCACCGCTCCTTCGCAGGTTCTACCGGTTTGGGAGCATGAACCTACTCATCTCTGCCGGTACGACCGTAGCCTATGTCGCGTCTTTAGCTGTGCTTATCATGGACGCTGCGATGGGCTCAGCGTCCAACACACATAGTTCAACATATTTCGACACGGTTGTGTTTCTCACTATGTTCATTCTTGCTGGGCGGTTTATGGAAGCGTACAGCAAAGCAAAGACCGGGGATGCGGTCGCATCTCTTGGAAAGCTGCGCCCGACAGAGGCTTTGTTGAGGATCAACGCAAGTGACACAGACCTACCCGGTGACGAAAACAGACTTGCGGAAGATGGCTATGAGCGGATCAACATTGACCTGCTAGAAATTGGGGATGTAGTTAGCATACCTCACGGCGCCTCACCACCTGCGGACGGTGTCGTCGTTGGGACTGCTTCATACCAGTTCGATGAAAGCTCGTTGACAGGAGAGTCGAAACCAGTCCACAAGTCAGCAGGTGATCAAGTTTACACCGGATCTGTAAACGTCGGCCAGCCCGTTGAGGTCAAGGTCGCTGCAATTGGAGGCTCCTCGATGTTGGATCAAATCATCTCCGTGGTGCGAGAAGGTCAGAGCAGACGTGCGCCGCTGGAACGGGTTGCGGATTTATTGACCTCTCACTTCGTCCCAATCATCACCCTGATCGCCATTCTGACCTTCATCATCTGGCTGGCTCTCGGCCTTTCAGGGACACTGCCTGATGATTACCTTGACGTTGCACGCGGCGGTTGGACGTTCTGGGCATTGGAGTTTGCGATCGCAGTGTTCGTCGTGGCCTGTCCTTGTGGTCTGGCACTCGCCGCCCCCACGGCACTTTTCGTTGGCGGCGGACTAGCTGCCAAGCAGGGTATTCTGGTCAAAGGAGGAGGCGAGGCGTTTCAAGAAGCGAGCCGACTCGACGCCATTGTGTTCGACAAGACGGGAACCCTCACAGAGGGCGGCAGCTTGCAGGTATCCGAACACGAAGCCCTGGTTTCAGACTCCGACGTGATACAGGTAGCTTGGACACTCGCCCGAAAGCTCGAAGAAAGCAGCAACCATCCAATCGCTCGAGCGATTTCAACTTTCTGCAAGGAAAAGCCCTCCGTCACGATCACCAGCGCAGACATCGAAGAAGGATCCGGCCAAGGAATGAAAGGCACGTTCACTGTATCGGTGCCGAATCCCAACGAGAAATCCGAGACACCCACTCAATACGAAGCTGCCATCGGCAACCAACGTCTCCTACACAGCCTAGAAACATCGGACTACGACGAAAGCCACCTATCTAAAACCCTCTCGAAGTACCAAGCTGCCGGTAAATCCACCGCGATCCTATCGCTCCGCTCCCAAAACGAACACTCCTTCACACCGGCCATCGTCTTCGCCATCTCCGACACCATCCGACCCGACACCATCGAAGTCATCTCCAAGCTCCAAAAGCGCAAAGTCAATGTATACATGTGCACCGGCGACAACCAAACAACTGCTCACGCCGTCGCCGACATGGTCGGCATTCCGCGCTCCAACGTCATGGCGAACGTAATGCCAGCAGGCAAAGCCGACTTCGTGCGTCAAATTCAAGACAGCAACAACAACTTCACCCCACAGACAGATTCTGAAGCAGAGAGTCAACGAGCCCCCACCAACAACCGCTCCATCGTCGCCTTCGTCGGAGACGGCGTCAACGACTCCCCCGCCCTCGCCGCAGCAGATGTGAGCATCGCCATGGCGTCGGGATCCGACGTCGCCATGAACTCCGCTAGCTTCATCCTCCTCAACTCGGAGCTCGACACCATCCTGCAACTTGTCCTGCTTAGTCGTCGCGTCTTCAACCGCGTCAAGTTGAACTTTGGTTGGGCGTTGATTTATAACTGCTGCTTGGTGCCTGTCGCTGCTGGTGTTTTCTACCCGATTGTTAGTGGTCATAAACATGAGATGGTCGGTGGAGAGCTTGTGGTTACTGATACCCATTGGAGACTGAGTCCCGTTTGGGCGGCGTTGGCTATGGCGTTGAGTAGCATTTCGGTCGTTTGCAGTAGTCTGGCGTTGGGAATTAGTCGCAGGTCGATTAAGAGGGTGTTTGGTTTGGGGGTTTAGGTGCTCATGGTTATTTATTCCAAGGAATGTTCTTTTCCGGGATTCTCGCTATGGGCATAATATTTTGCTATGGTGGTGGTGATTTTCTTTTCAACCATGATATTTGATGAGAGCTACGGTTTATTATTCGGGCATTGCTATGTATGACAAATGAGATGTGGATCATCCTGGTGATGATGAGATTGAATGTCAATGACTATTTACGTGTGAACTTATCGAACTATAAGGTTGTAGCTGCTATGGATTTTGAAAGACATGGGGTATATCGCATGCTTTAGTAGTCAGTCTGGTAGGCATTTGCTAGTACTAGTAGTTTGTAGTGTATCTGAGGCTCTTGTCTGATGTTCTCTTTAACTGATTGAATGTACTGGTCATCAAGTCACCAACAGTGCGCTTTATGTTAAAGTCGTCCCATATATTGAATGGATTCCGCCCTCATGCGTCACTCGTAATTTAGTACTCTTAATTCATTCCCCATCCCTCTGAAAATGTATCAACCATCCTCACCCCACACCTCTGCGATCTTCTTGCTCAGAACCTTCGCGATCTTCTTCCGTCCAACAAGCGTGTTCATCCGTTCTGAAACCATATTCTCCCGATCCTTCGGATCAAGCTCCTCAAAAGCACGGATAAATGCCTGCGGAGTCGGCCACCTTCGTTGAATCTCGAGTGCCTTTTCGCCTGTCACGCCCCGGATGCACATGAGCATTTTCAGGAACACGTCACGGAGGGTTAAGACGTCGGATTTGGAGGTTAGAGCGGAGAAGGTGGAAAAGGTCACGGCGTAAGTGGTCTTGGGGCTCTCTGCTCGGAGACGTTCCAGGGCTGTGAGGTATGATTGGGAGGAGGAGAGCTGGCGACTAGGGATTAGACTGAGGGTGTTGGAGGGTGGTTCACCGGTGGCAGAGGGGTTGTTGAACATTCTGCGTAATAGGATGGTCATTCTAGCTAGGTATTGGATCGTGTCGTCGAGGTTCTTGGTTCTCTTGACGAAGTAGCCGTTGACGACTTGTGTTGAGGCTATGGCGGAGGCTACCATTTCGTTGTATTTGCCTGCCATGGCGCTGTTGGGGTCTGAGGGGACGGTGAACTCTTCGATGAGGTAGATGACGTTTTTTACGCCTGAACGACGGAGACGGAACTTTTGTTCGTGGAAACGTCCGTCTTTCATGGAGCTGATGAGATCGTCGATTCTCTTGCGCTCAACAATCCAGTCGAGCATGACTTCGTCGCCTTCTTCGCCGTATTGGGATAGGAACGTTGGGTTGTGGAATTTGGCTACCCACATGACGTCGCCTAGTTCTAGTGCGCGCACTTCGGGACTGGCTCCCTTTTTGTGTAGTTCGTTGGTAATGTAATCCCTGTCTTTGGATGAGCGGACTTCGCGGTTGTCCAGAACCAGCTGGACTGTGAAGCTATCGGGGGGAATTGTTATGGGTGTTACTGTTCCGTCTGGGGTAGATTCCCATCTTTGGGTATCGTTACGGGCGGTGGGTGCTTCTTCGTCGTCGATTACCTCTGTGATGTTGCCACCCATGCTGTCCTGTAATTGAGAGTCCCCGGTATGGGTTGTACCTGGCCCCTACGCACGTCAGACATTGTGGTAGTAGACTAGGTAGTGGCTTTGTTACCGATTGATTTCCAAACGCCAAAGTGCCTTGATTGGAAGGCAGAGCAACCTTCTTCATCCTTTTCGCCACCTCCCATCCCTCTTCTGTGAGTGCGTACTTTTTCAGAGGGCGCCCAAAATCATATACAATCTCCTTCTGCAGAAGCGTCTTCATTGAGCTCCAGGCAGTATGAAACTTGGACGAGTCGGCAGGTGCCGTGAACGAACTGTCGCAGTTCGGCTGCGCCAAGTCAATCAGTTGTGCCTTGGTTAGGCCTTGAGAAGAGTTCTCATTGAGGGTTGCCAGGGCTAGGATCAACGCATAAGGGCCCGATCGTAGAGTCGGTACATAAGGCCTTGCCTTTCGAGGTTTCTTGGCTGGCTGGCTTTCTGCCGTGCCCTCATCGGATGCTCTTTTGCTGCTTGCCGCTACCATTCTTAGACCTGCTTGAAGATGACAGTACTACCATGACTTACATTTTTGAGGATGCTCGGGCATCGGGAGCGCATTTTCTTCACAGTAAGCCTTTAGCTTCTCGGTCAAGCGATCACATAATTTGGGGCCAAGTCCGTTTAGCTGCTGAGCCTCGGAGGGGTGTTGAAAAACCAAGGGACAAGCTTTCATCGACTCGTAGGCCTTTTTATAACTGTGCATCATTCAGCATCAAACCCCACTATTGTATCGGATTATGGGATAGCACTGACACAATGGCACCCTTGCTGTTGCGCTCTCGAGCCTCGTCTAGCCATTCTTTGATCCACCCCAGTAGTAGGGGATTGGCACACGTCTCACTCATTGTTACGAAGTTAATCGCATTGACATGGTGCGAGAAGAGACAGAAATAATGGTGTCAGCTAATCAATCTCATAAGAGATTCTGATGTTTCTGAATAGAGTACTAAAGTGGTGTTCTAGGCCTGGGAGGCGGAGATCGAATCTACTGGTCTGGAACGCGGCATCGGGATGTCCTCACGCGTATTTCCTATTTAGGCAGAATTGCTTTACGCCACATAAAGCCACATGTGTGGCGGTGCTATTGCCACACTAGGCTTTGATTGGCTGGGTTGTCAAGTATGCAGTCACATCAGCACCAATGATCTAGAGCACAACACCTATCCCAAGAGGTAATTAAAAATCGAAGACAGCGATCGATCGGGTAGTAAGTTACTCTGAAATGCCCCTGAGCTAAGAAGATTGGGTCGAGGTACCGTATGCTGACGCACTCCTGAGATTCCAGGCTTTTGCACGATCGGTCCGTGACGACACAGCCATGACGTATTGCCTACCCCGGCTTTCAAGAGACCCTCAAAGCGCATCTCCTTTCCCCATTTTTGAGCCCATATTTGCTTCTATTATACATGCATTGATACTAAGTTCTTGTGCAATATGTCACGGAGGGATCCTACAAAACCAGCAGAGCCTGTCGCGTACAGCTCGAAGACCAGCGGCAGCGATATCTTCGCGGCTGATCGCGTCACCACCGAGATTAGCGGTCCAACAGACAGTCATATTCTTTCTAAGGTGGATCAAGATGAGAAAGGACTGGCTCAGAAGGCTAGACAAACAGACACTGTCACGGATGTGGGCTGGAATCAACACCCCGACGAGCTTGACGAGCAGATCGTGTCCGGAATCTCAAACGAAGATCTTTGGATGCTTATTCGACGTTTCAACAAGGTACAGCGCCTGCACCCTACAATACTAGACCATAGACTGATTCAAACACAGCAAATCTATTATGTGAAAGCAGTGCCGCATTCCCCCTTGCAACGACTGGACCTCAATCGGGCCGAAGATGAGCAATTCTCCCCTGATAAACTGCGCGCTACCCTTGAGCGATTCTACACAACCATTGTCGTCTCGTTAACTTCATTCGTCAATCATATTGCCAGGCTACGCTCATGGAGGGAGCGCCAACGGACAGCGGCATTCTGTGCTGTAGGTCATAACTGGACGTCCTTTCATCTCTGACTCGGTTGACTGGTGTTGGATTTTAGGTTTATTTCGCTGCGTGGGCCTTGGATCTGCTTGCTCCGACAATCTTCACCCTTCTAATAGTGCTGGTTATCAGTCCTGATAGCAGGTCATACTTATTCCCTCCTGCTCCTATAGCTCTAGTGGACAAGGATACTGGTGGCGTGCAAAAGCCCAAAGCCGGCGTCTTGGGTTCCCATGATAGTATCACTGGGGCACCCGAGAATATGAAGGGTGAAGCTGCCGAACAGGAGGCTAGCAACCTCTTTACAAGCGTTGCTAGTGTTGCTGTTGGTAGTGTTGCTGGCAAGCATGATCAAGGGACACCTGATGATGCCCCAATGGAAGATAATGCTCCAGATGTGATGAAGCTTGCTACCAGCGCAGCAGATGCCCAGACAGCTGCTCGTGGGGAAGCCCCGGACGAAGCTCATGATAAGACTAGACAACCCATGAGGGATACCGTTTACAACGGTGCTAACATGGCAATGCGCGTGCTGAGCGACATAATTGACACTTATGAACGGTTTGGCAAGTATGTACAAATCGCAGCACCGAGAACTACACACTTAAATTCTGACTTGCTATAGTGCTTTGTCACCAACTCCTCCATTCTCCATCGTGACTCCCTACGTTCGCCTAACAGCGGTGCTATCTGTTGGTTTCCTGATCTCACTCATCACCTCCAGCTACGTCTTTGTCAAAATGATTACTTTTGGTACTGGATTCGCCTTCTTCGGAGACCCAATTATCTGGCGTGGTGTAGCTTACTTGAACCGCGAGTACCCCCGATGGGAGAAACTGCTCGAGCTCCAGAAGTACGCTGCCCCGATCTCTCCAAACAAAACATTCACGTAGTGCTAACATCCCACTAGCTCCCTCCTGAAAGGAATCCCCACCAACGCACAACTCACCCTAACTCTTCTCCGAATCGGCGAAGCAAACGGCGCTCCCCTTCCACCACCACCGTCTCACTCCCTTCACCAAACACCATATCACCCGGCCCCCGTCAACGACAAGGATATCAACATCTCCGCCTCAGAAGAAGAAATCCACCAAGCAATCGCCCCCTCCCCGGAACCTGTCATCGAAGAACACGAAGTACACCCCAAGCCCCACAAGAAGGGCTTCATGAACCGCATGATCGGCTTCTTCCGAGGCACTACCGCCACAGGCATCCAAAGCAAGCTCGCCGTTGACCGAGCCCGCGCAGCCGCCGGCTCCAAGCACGCCAAACCCCGCGTCGGTGTGCTCCGCAGTAAAGGCAAACTCACTCTCCCATCCGGCCCCATACAATTCGACGGGCGATACAAAGGCAAGCGGGGCGTCGTGGTGCTCGACCAGTCCCAGAAGCCACCGCTGCTTTACTTCACGACGGACCAGACCGTGCAGTTGGATAAGCCTAGTCTGGAACATCGGCCGAAAGGCACAGTGCTGTTCACGATGCCTGTGACGGATATTCTGGAGATGCGGAAGATTGGTGGACTCGGGTGGAAGGGGAAGTTGGTCACGGGCTGGGCTGTGGGTGAGAGCAAGGAGGTGGTGGATGGAATGGTGCTTACGGGAAGGTTGCCGGAGCAGAAGTATCAGCTTACGGCTATGAAGACTCGCAATCAGTTGTTTAATCGACTGGTTGCTATTGATGGACAGGTTTGGGAAAGTTATTGATCTTGGTTTGGATGCTTGCTAAGGTGTTTTTCAGGTTTGGAAATAGTGAGATCGAGCTGTGTTGAGGTGGTAAATGGTATGATGGTTTAGGAATTTGTGCATATGGAGAAGTTGCAGATATGGTCATACAATGGGAGTTGTGTAGTAATATCTTTTGTACTGGTATCATTGTATGAAAATGGAATCCTACCTATATGTCCAATCATCCATGAAGACAACATCGTGGGCAAAGTACAGGATGTGGAGCACGAGTGTTCATTGCTGTCCTATCTCCAACTGGTAATCTCTTACAGCTTGCTCAAACGAAGAATCCCGCTTGAAGCCCAAAGCAATAGCCTGAGAGTTATCGAAGCGAGTAGGCCAAGACTCCAAGATCGGCCTGAGGGTCGGATCCTCCTTCTCCGTTAACAGATCGAGCTTATCCTTCCCTGTAACCTTCTCCAAAGCATCCATCATATCCTGAATAGTGACACAAATACCAGGAACATTAATCTGTCGAATATGAGGAGGCAACGCATCCTTGGACAACGATAACGTATGAACAAGATTATGCACCAGAGTCTTGGGCGAGCATAACCAAGACTTGAACGACCTATCCTCCAGCGGAATGACACACTCCTTGCCGTCGAGCGGCTCGCGGATCATCCCAGAAAGGAAAGACGAAGCAGCAGCTGTCGGACGACCAGGCCGGACAGAAATAGTGGGAAATCGAAGAGTAAAGCCCGCGATGAAGCCACGACGGGTGTACTCATTGATGAGGGTCTCACAGATGATCTTCTCGGCACCGTAGGACGACTGCGGCGTCGGGATGACACTGTCGTTCACTATTTCGGGGAGTGGCTGGCCATAGACAGCCTGACTTGAGGAATAAATCACCCGCACGCCGGGACAGGCTCTCCGGAGAGCTTCAAGCAGGTTCCGGGTGGCGTCTACGTTGACGCTCATGCCTAGATCGAAATTGGCTTCTGAGCCGGATGACATGATTCCGTGGAAGGCGTAGACGGCGTCGAGGGATTTGTCCACGACTGCGTCTGCGCCTTTCAGGAGGTCTGCTGTCACTGAACGTGCATTTTGAGGGTATGCGACGCCTGTGGGGATTGGGGGCTCGTTGATATCGGTTAGTGTGACGGTGTATGATGGATCGTTGAGAAGCTCTTTTGCGAGGAGTTGGCCGATGAAGCCGGCTGCTCCGGTGATGAGAACTTGCATTTTGGAGGGTCAATTGAGGGGATTGGTGGTTGGGGAGGGAGAGAGGTGTGGGAATTGGTTATTTGTTAACGCACTATCAAGTAGACACTATCAGTAATATGCTCAGCTAGCTAGCGGTCGTCATTGTGGGATCGCCTCGCATTAACTCCGAGGGTAGGATATAGCTTGTGCTCCGCAGCCGGACTTTTCCCGGCGCAAATTCGAATCCATGACGTTTTTGCTCAGGAACTGTTCTGCTCTTCTCGGAGGATCTGCAGGTTCTTCTGGGATATGTTTGATTGTACTCAGATGGAATTTGAGAGAGTGGTTATTTTGATGGTTACCCCTCGATGCGCCTTGTGGTTTCTTGTCACGAGAAGTTGGGCGCGGGGTAAGTGGTGAGTGGAGCTGGATAGAATTGGTTGATGCATTCTGTGGAATACAAGATATCAGCATCCTTGAACGACAGACCATTGAGATCTCTCTCGGTCACGCCATCCTGCCATTGTGCGCAACAGGGACATCTGGGACTGAGACGGTCGGGGACAATTGAGCCGTGGATACCGACTGGCGGTGCCCCGCATTCCCCAGATCCCGTGCCTGTTGCTGGTCTGGAGAGAAAACAATGAGACCTGAAGTAATTTGCAATTCGTCCAGTTGGATTTGCTGTATGTCTGTAGATATTAGAGAGTGTAAATAGTATAGAGGATACCTATTTGTAGAATTGAGGGAATTGAATATTTTATGGATCGGGTTCGCAATGACAATGGGGAAGAAATGCTCATGTCTTGGAACTCCCCAACGGCGCCAATTGAAGCGGGGTATGCCGCCATCGCCAGATTTGTCTGTCTCCATCCCACTCACTCTTCTCCCTCATCGTTGAAGTTTTCTTCCCTCGCATCTCTGCCTCCCTCTGGACCCTTCAGTGGATATTGGTTGTTCCGCCGCAACTAGTTTGAACAGACAAAGCAACACTATCTGGCTAGCTTGACATTAATCTATTGGACTTGGTCCGTCCCCACTATTGTCAATCCCATATTGGCTGCAGAATACCGGAGCATCCCCGATCAGTTCTTAGTCCATGATCGAGCAACCATGAAGCGCTCCTCGCAAGATGCCGACTTGGAGGCCCCACGGCCACATGAACGTCGACCCTCTCTCGTTCCTGACGGACGCCCTGCGCCACCCAAGATCTCCAAGGCCCGCGCTTGTGAGTACTCAAAAGGCCGAACTGCAACCGAGGCCCAAGCAATTAGCTTCAAGGTGTGCTTGGGCTTGATGTAACTAGAAGTATGAAGCTGATGCTTTGGATATATAGGCGCAGAGTGTAAGCGGCATAAAATACGCTGCGAGTTCAAATCAGGAGAGGCGAGTTGCACCAAGTGCATCCGCAGCGGGATAAAATGTGTGGTCAATGACTTCTCCCAGAAGTTTGTCGACGATGATGTGATGTAAGTCTTTTGCTTTATTTAGATCTTGCCTGCAGGAAATGTGGAGTATGAGAGCTAATTCCGACTCTTCTGCGCTGGGTACAGATGGAAATCACAAGCATCGGCCACGTTACAACAGCTTCAGGCGGCAGTCTCGCATCTTCTACAACAAGGAGGTCTGCCAGACCTATCGACCTTCATCTCTGGTGACAGCCACAACGGCCCCAGTCCTGTCGGCTCTCAGTCAGAGCGTCGCTTCTCATCCGAGGCATCACCCACTGATGTCAAACCCCGAGAGCCGGGTATTGTTATGGATGTGACCCGAGAACCTTCCCAAGAACCAGACCTACAGGACCGAGAGCTAGTACCAGCACCAATGCGCAGTTTATACGAGGTTACGAAGCTCCGCAATCTGCGGAACAACCCCATAGAACAGCCGAAGCTGACGCTTCTGGAGGAGGACTTCATCTCCAGAGGGCTGATCTCGCTTCATGAAGCCGAAGAGCTGTTTGCCTACTTTAGCAGGACTATGAATCAGCTTCTCTGGGGAGGGATAGTCTTGGTACATCGTGATCTCACGTCCGTCCGACGAGCATCGACGTTACTGTCAGCAGCTGTTTTAACAGTTGCTGCCCTCCATATACCGAATCGAACTGAGACACTCAACCGTTGCTACGATGAGTATGTATCGCTTGTGTCGAGCATGTCATTGACAAGGGCTCATACACTTGATGACATTCGCGCTCTCTGCGTCGGAGCGTTCTGGTTATCCGAACTAAGTTGGAAACTTTCTGGGCATGCGGTCCGAATCGCAACGGAATTGGGTCTTCATCAAAGCTATCATAAGCTAATGCGTGGTCATAATGATCAGTATGAACGCGCTCAGCTCTGGTATCTTCTGTATGTGTGTGACCATCATTTTAGCATCGCCTACGGGCGTCCACCAGTCATCCATGAGGATGCAGCAATCAAGAACTACGAATCGTTTCTCCAGTCACCAATGGTAGTACCTGGGGACATCCGGCTGTTAGCACAAGTGGCCTTGTTTATGATCCTGACCGAAGCATATCGGACGTTCGGGACCGACACAGAGCAAGCCCTTACCGAAGAGGACTTTGGGCAGTTACGCGTCTACAATGTTGCTATAGACCAATGGCGGCTACTGTGGCAACCCCGATCTGGTACGTGCTTTACAAGACCTGCTTGGATTGAAATCATTACGAAAGACTAATTGTCATGACTTTGACCTGCAGCCGATAGCCCCTATGTCCGAACATATCCCTCGAAAGGGGTTGTGCTTCACTATCACTTTGCCAAATTTCAACTCAACTCACTCTCTCTGCGAGCCTTGTCACCGACTAACACCCCGGTGTTTTCTATGGACCGCAAAGAGTCGGCTAATATTGCCATCTCGTCTGCCATGGCTTGTTTAAATATGGTATTGGAAGAGCCAGATATTCGCGACGCCATTGTTGGAGTTCCGATTTTCACCCATACGATGGTCACATTCTCCGCCGTGTTCCTCTTGAAAGTTGCAATAAACTGGAACTCTGCGTATCTCAGTCTCGACGGCCGCCAGGTGCGACGTCTGGTTGAGAGGGTGATTGAGCTGTTGAACTGTGTCTCTGCAGGGGAGAGACATCTGACGAGACATATTGCCCGGGGCCTTGGTAAGATGTTGGAGCGCTTCGACTCTTGGGACGCATGGCAAGCAGGAGGGGCACCTGTTGTAGCATCCGGTGGTGTTGAGCGAGCAGGTAGTAGTGATGTTCCCGGGGGTGCGAATGCCATGGCCCAGGGGTTTCCCCCACCTGATTTGATCTATGATATGGTTGGTACATACGGGTTTGGGTTAGATGAAAACCTCCTAGATCCTAGCATGGCTAGTTTCGAATTCTTAGCACAATGAGCCATGCCCTGATATTATGGGCCGTAAGAGTCAGACTATTGAGGTCACAGCACATTGTAATCTGGATTGCTTAATATAGATAGAGGGCTATAGGAGACCACCTTCCGGCCAAGTCAAGGTGCTACCACATCTGCCTCGTCTCCACTAGGGACATCATGAACAGTTGCAGACAATGCTTGGCTACTCCCCCTAATCTGTCTCTGGGCTTTCTTGCCTGTCGTCTTGGTGAGGATATCTTTCACCTGCTCGAGGGAATACCCGAGCTCCGCTTCAATGGCTGCTCTATACTCCTGTTTCAGCTGCCTCCTCTCCCTCTCCTCCTCAAAAAGGCGCCGCTTCTCTGCCAACTTGTAATCCTCTACTGCAGCACTCCGAATCTTCTTTTCATGATCAATGCGTTCGAATTCTTCGAGTTTCCGTCGCATCTCTTCGTCGCGCAGCTCCTTCCTAATCCTGGCCCGCATTTCCTCCTTTTCGATCTTCGTTTTCAACTCCTTCCAATCATTTTCGAGCAACGCAGCTTCAACCCTCTCTTTCCTCTGGGCTTGCAACTGAGCTTCTTCTAGCTTTTGTTTCCTCAAGAGCTCCTCGGTGCGCTTTTCGGCTCTCTTTGTTCCCTCTTCCCTTTCAATTCCATCTGGTCTCTTCAATCGCTCCGAAATATCTTTATCGTACGCTCGAACCTCTGAAAGATATCTTGCCTTTTCTTCCCTCTTGAGTCTATTGCGATGCGACTCTTTTTCGAGTCGGTTTATCTCTTTCTGCTTTTTGAGGATCTTACGGTCCTGCTTTGCGTCGAACGAGTACAGATCGTTTTTGAGAACCTCAATATGTCGGCGAGGAAGTGATTTGTCTTTTTGAACGTTGCCTGTTGCCCGAGGCCGTTGATGACGGTACGGGAATTCCGAGTCAGATTCTGTATCTTCCGTGGCGTGGACGTTGTGAACATTGCTTAAATGATGAGGTCTGGAATTCCACCGAATATTTGGGTATGACCTGGTAGAAGGCCAAAAATTTCGAGCCAGCGGCGGCTTTGAGGAGGACTCATCAGGCGGCAAAGATGGGATGGCTTCTGCAGCGGGGTTTTGCTGACCATCTTGGACAGGACTTCTGTCCTTGGGCTGCCCCTTTTTCGTCCCGGGAATCATCTCAACGATGCGCTCACCACTGGCCGTAATAACAATCCCAGGCGTCTCGCGTGCAGAATCCATGCCGGTGTGAGCTGTGCGGTGGTCGTTTGTCATCTACAAATTTGCTGCTATGTTGGGAACTCAGCAGCGAAATCCTCAGGGGCGGTGATTAGGCGCCCAGCGCGGCACGAACAAGTAGCCGACAATCACGCGGGCCTTTTGCTCAGCCATGCTGGAAACATTGCAACAGAGTGGCTGTACCTGGAGATTGGCCTATAGCCACTTGCTGGTCCCCAGCCTCGCGCGCAAATGTCCCAATCAGAGGTTACTCAGGTGCTCGGAGAAGTGACACTAGTATCCTAAGTGCTGACATGCACGTCTGCATCGAATCAGACATGGAAGGTAATTACTAGGCTTGGTCTCCACCCGCGCGTTTCCACAGGTTCTACGGACTTTTCGAGGGAAGTTGTTATTATCAAATGACCGCCACCCTTTGTTCTTTCTCATCGACTATGATGAAGTCTTCGCAATGCGCCTGTTCAGCTGCTATATGCTATGGCTCTCTCGCCGAACTTTTAATCGCTTCTCCGAGCCGATTCTTGTGTGGACTTGGTTGGCATCCCAAAGAAATCCAGGAGCGCAGCCAGGATCTGGATTAAGGTTATCAAAGACGGATAGTGCGATAAAAGCATCAGCGCATTTTCAGGGCTGTCGGTGTTTCTGCCCCCTTTCTCGCCATGCCACTGTTCGGGTGGTCCGCTCGGTATTGCTGGAACAATCGAGCTCGAACTCGAACTCGGGGGCAGGACACTTATAGATGCCTGTAACTCTCCTCGGCCAACAGCTTGTGGTGCTCGAAAGGTGTACACGGCATCTCCAAGCTTAGATATGCACGCGTCTAGTGGGTCATTTGCACTGCGGGACTCTATAATGTCTACTAACGTTTCCGAGGAAGAAGACGAGTTGGAGCCTGATGATCTCCCTGTATCAGTATGGTGCCCAGTGCCTTCTGGGCCGGGCAAAAGGCCAGGTAGGTTCCCCGTATATGAGTCTTCGGGCAGAGTTTGTTCAGGCTGGACGTTGGCTAGTGCCGTGTTGGGAAGGTTCCCATTGCTCTCTGCGAACGATATTGGCAATGCGGCAGGAATTTGCACCGGAATGCGTAGGCAATTCTCTCTTTCCATAACCATGGGCAGATCTTGTGCGACGCGGTCGAGTCGAGAGCCTGACGACTGCGTCACAACATTTGGATACACCAGGATTTCACTGGATCCCTCGTCGCCTGCATGACGAGATGGGAACCTCAAATGACGGGCCGTTTCTTTGAGGCGGCTCCTTCCCTTTTGCAGCTCCCCTTTAATCTCAACCCGCATGAGGAAAGGTCTCCCCTCGTGTTGAAACGCAAAGGCAGTATGAAATAGGTTGCTGTGAACTGATTGAGATTCGGGGTCCCCCTCACGTAGCTCCCACTTTATGGTGCGATATTCCAGGTCAGTCTTTTGCGCAGGGCGCAGGTTACCTGTGAACGTCCACCGACTATCGTAAGTAATCGACTTCTCGCTATCGACACCGATGCCACCACCGCCATTTCCAAGCACATTGACCTGGGGCGCAAGGTGCAAGATAGTTTTCTTGACCACATTCTTTGGATCTCCGCTAAGATATTTTGGTCCGTAGTGATCGGTCAGATTGAGGCGTACAGGCTTATTCCGGTTATGCCGAGACCGAGGAATGCCTTGCAAAGTGATCTTGACCGTAGCGCCTAGTAGCCTACAGTCGGCGGGCTGATCAAACGAGAGATCCATATAGACAATACCCGCCGGCCTCGATGTCTCCCCTAAGCATCCCCATTTGGACTGAGAGGTTCGGAGTCGGCAGTCAGCGCGTGCTCTGCCGACCTTACGGTGGCACACACTGGAATCCTGAAGGTTGTCAAGCTCAAGATATTTTCGACCATATCGTCGCGAATAAGTTGGCGGCGAGTCCCGGCCGACGGTGGTTGATGCAGTCTTTGTGGTCCGCGACATGATTTTGGGGATGGAAGCGAAAACAGAACGTCAAAATCCCAATCACCGTGATTGTCAACACGGTTTAAATAGTTAATGAGTTGACAGCCTGTTAGCTGGCTGTTGGGAGACGCCTGGCACTGCCACCGGACAAATCACCCACGCGGAGGCGCTAATGCAGACACGCAAGGCAAGGCTGAATTAGTACCTGAACTGGTAATCCTTGTGGACCTCTTGCAAATGTGCTGTTGCTGCGCTATCATTTCTTCTACACAACTCTCTCAAAATGAACAACATCTGGCAAAGGCCTTCCTCTGGGATAAGGAGGCGATCTGAAGATCGGAAAGACATCTTCAACCGCTTTTGCTGGGATGAACGAGCGGCTCACGAAAGGGCGCACAGCGCCCTCGTTGTTCCCGAAAGGAATGCCCATTTATCCCATGCAGAAACTGTGTACCCGGAAGCACTTGTCATCCGTGATGGTACAGCTCAGAGCAACGATAACAAGTTTCCTTCATCAAGTACTTTCTCTAAGGAGTTATTAATATCACAGGATGCACCACACAACGACGGGCCTACCATCTGGACGCCTTCGTCAACGAAAGATACCACCATTCATTATGATATGGACATCGTGGAGGACGTGGGAAGCCTATTAGAAGAGTTCTCGCGACTAAAAAGACTAGGCCATTTCCAGGAGGCGGAACAATACTTCGAAGATTCTTTATGTGCTTTTATGGAATTATCACCAGTTACGATTGAGTTCGCAGACATGCTAGTCGAACAGGGCTCATATGAGCGTCTACATCGCGTTATGTCGCAGCATCAACAGCAGAAGCTAAATACCTCTGGCGGCATCTCAAGCGTCCAGGAGGGCAGCCCCGCCAAATTCCTGTACCAAGCGAACTTGCAACTCGTACAAGGGTTTGCAGCCATGCAGTCCCACGGATCTCTGGACGAGGCATATAGAACGGTGCGATCTTTGGAGCGCCAAATGCGTTTGCTAAGGCGACGTCGGAGGAGAGACCCGAATCTGGACCTGGACTCGGCTGAAGTAAGACATTTCATCATGTTACTTACGCGATGGGCAAAGGCTCATGGTACAGACAGGTGCAAGTGATCCGCTATGCCCTCTTGACTCTATCGCAAGTTGAGCGAGAAACCGATCTGATCCCAGAACATGAATTCAGCTTCTGGTCCAATTGGCGCTATTTGTACAGTACTCTCATGATTGAGGGGCGAGTGTGGGATGTGCGAGACCTAATGCTCGCTTCTATCCAAGCAGAAGGTGCAGAAAATGCTTGGAACTTGATATTCGGAGCAGAACTTGATGCTTCCAATGAGGCGTTCCGCAAGCTGAGGGACGACTGGTGTTTGCATCGGTATGATGAGTCAACGTATCTCGCTATTCTAGATATTCTAGTATCTCTGAGTCGCAGTTTGTCCTCATGGTCTATCTCGATACCAGAAAGACAGGGCTTGCTCACAGCTCAACGATGTCTCCAATATGCGCAAGCCCTTGCAACATGCCTCAAGGAGAACAACCCGCCGCTGGTGAGATCCCGTCCTTACCTACAGTGGGTTATCGCCGAAGCAGAATTGGAGAGGAAGCTTCTACTCAATCCCTCAGATCTGCGAGCCCACCTCGACAGATTTCCAGGCCTGACAGTATGGAGAGGTTCTGTTCCCATATATCTCCCAATCAAGACGGAGAACCCAAAGTGGACGGCACCCATAGACGGGGGACGGCACTACGGTTTTCTTGAAACCGTTCTTCAGACGGCGCAGGACCTGAAGGACCATAGAACTGAGGTTCTATGCTTGGGTGAGCTAATCTATCGTTCGGTAAACACGAGCGAAAGGTTAACTCGGCTATCCGATCTTCAGAAGTCCATCCAGGGGGATGTTCTCGGCTATCAGCAGACTTTCCTGTCGTGGTTTCTTCTTGCTCATACTGAACAAGATTATAAACTTCTTTTGGATGGCCTGAGAAGAATACGGGAACCAAAACGATCCGGGAGATCTACCTATTATCTGAGTGACTGGTGTGCAATCATCATCGAACGGGCTATTGCACATTGCCTAGCTGAAGATGTATCGCATTCGGAAGAAGCTTTCCAAGACTCTAAGGAGGACTTCTCCACCTACCTCCCGCAGTATATAAAAGATCGGTTGGAGGGGCTCGGCCTGGACAAGGTCTATTTTGCGCCCTCAAGGACTGGAAAGCCTCAGGATCCTGGAAGACGACAACGCAGTATTACAGATGTTCCGACACTGAAGCAGGATACTCAATCCCACCGTTCGCCTGAAGTTTCGAGTGACGAAGAAGCTCAAGAACAGTCCGAGCCACTTACCCTTTTGAGGCAGCCAAGTTGCACGTACACAGAACCAGAGGAAAGTGATGATGAGGATGGCGAGTCTACCACTGATAGTACCTTTGACACAGCTAGATCAGATCATGGTGGGGTGGATGATGAGCAGATCAACTCGACATCGCCTGTTCATAGCACTTCACGATTTGGACCAAGTGAGTAGAGAATCTGAATTAGTTTCATGACTCATCATTGACATTTCCCAGTTTCTAGAAGTGCGACTGTTGAAGATGCCAGTAGTAGCATATACGAGGATGAATGAGCGTGGGACTATGGATTGTGAAATTCAAACTTTGTATATTCGACGGTCAGAATATATTCTGTATAGAACAATTTCATCTTTTGAAGGGTTCGACGAAGTCTCTGCTAGAGCGAACCGGATTTGTAGATTTATAAGTCCTCTATACTATCTCTACAATTAGTATGTGCCGTGGAGTCTATCCGATAGATCTTCTAGAAATTCATCAACACAGATAAATATACACAATACATGCAAGGACTTCACTTTTTCACATTCGACAAGTAAGGAGATTCAAAAGAATAGATCAAGAGCACCTCTTCCATACCTATTGTTCATAGCACATCAGACAATGGAATGTTTGACTAGTTTGCAATAAATACAAACAGCTCCTTCTGACCACAATCCACCAATAATCGCATGTGATTTCAGTTTGTCCTGTTTGCCAGTGACGTAGAGCGATGGTTGTTGCAGCTCGTTCTACACCCCATTGAGCGCGATATTCATCCATCTGATGCATGTATATGTCCGATTGAGGAAAGATGAGACGGAATGCAAACATTCAGTACCCAGTCCTACAATTTTCCTGGTCTACCATAGATGAAGTATAAAGCATAAAGCAGAGCATCCCGCTCTAGCGTTCATACTTCCAATCCATCTCACATCTCACATCCCAACAACACTGCTCATTCCTATACTTAGTATACAAAATGGCATCACCCCAACCCACCACTCTCCCAATCGTAGCCATCGCCGGCGCAACCGGCCATCTAGGCAAACACGTCGCCTCAGCCTTCCTCACCTCCAACCTACGCAACCGCTTCTCCGAAATCATCCTCCTTTCGCGACAAAACAGCCATCATACACCACAGCCACCACCAACCGACCTCCCCTCTGACAGCCCCAAACTCACCATCCGCACCTACATCGAAGATTCCATCCCCAGCATCACCCGCGCCCTCCAGGGCGCTACCATCCTCATCAACACCATCGGCCCCTCCGGCCACTCCTTCAAAGAGAAACTCCTCCACGCCATCCCCCACTCCTCCATCCAGGTGTACTTCCCCTCCGAATTCGGGGTGAATCACTACGTGCATGACTTCCCGCATCGAGAATGGGACGCGAAGAAGAAGCACATGGCGCTGGCGGAGCAGCTACTACTACTTCCCCAAGGCCCGAAGAAGGTGAAGATCTGTCGTGTCTTCTGTGGGTTGTTCCTGGAGGATAGTATTGGTCCGTGGTTTGGGTTCGATACGAAGCGTGGACGGTATGAGTGTGTTGGGAGTAGTAGTAGTAGTAGTGAGGTGAAAGTGTCGTTTACTTCACTGGGGGATGTCGGGAGGTGTGTGGCTGCGTTGGCGAGTTTGGAGAGGGATGAGGTGCCTGAGGTGGTGCATGTCGCTGGGGATAGTAGGAGTGTTAAGGAGATTGCGGAGGTTATGGGGGAGTTTGGTGGTGGTGAGATTGAGGTGGTGGAGATTGGGTTGGAAGGGTATAAGAGGGAGGTGTTGGAGGGGATGAAGGAGTCGTGGCATCCGGCGCCGTTTTTGAGGTTTTTGATGGGTGGGGGCAAGATTATGCATACTGCTAGGGATGGGGGTGGGTTGGGGGATGATCGTGAGTTGGTTAATCCCGGGGAGAGGTTGTGGAAGTGGGAGACGCTGAGGGATTTGGCGAGGAGGGAGGCGGGGAGGCCTTGGAGGGATTATGTGTGGCCGCCGGTGAAATAGAGGGTATAGTTAGTTAGGGTTTAGAGTGCTATTTGTTTAGGCTGCTAATGTACGTCTGTTTTGCATATGATGTTGCAGTAGTTGCAGTAAGTGGTGACTGGGGGTTGGACATCGGGTAATTTGCATGTCGCATGTAAAATTGCAGGTTATGATGGATGAATTGGGGCAGCATCAGTGCCGCTGTGGGGGGATCAATCACTCTTGGTCTGTGCTTTTCCAGAAGAACTTCCGCATTGCGTTTAGCCTGCTTGCATGAAGTACGGAGTAACTGGTAAGATTGCAGCATGTTTTGAAACAGATATTTATGTATGGGGGTATCGATACGCGCAGGATTTCAATCCTGACATCATGATTATTGCTGCTTTTGGTGTCCGGGCCGTACTTTACTTCTTGTTTCCACGGCCTCGGATGGTTTATGAGCACACTGCCTTGGGGTATCATTGTACCTGTCACAAACACCAGAAACACCAGAAACATCCAAACATCCCCCTTTTGCCCCGGAGTGTCTGTGCGCGTCTTTCCCCATCCTGCTTGCTTGTGCTTGCTTGTATCTCGCCAGGCACGGTATTTCTCATGTAACCTCTACTTTACTTACCATACCTTGTGCTCACTTCTCTTCCTTCCTTTTCGGATCTTTGTCTTTCTCACCCATCCATCCGTTTCTCTCCATCTCGGCCTTTTTCTCCAGTATCCATCCACACACACTCTCTGTCTTGTCATGCAACACGGTCCGGATCATCACCAAGATAAGCAAGAGTCATCGTCATGGATGGATCAACTCCGCCTCAGACCCAACGGATCATCCTCACCCGGGGCTGTTTCAATCCATGGTGAGCTGAGGGGAAACCGAGCATCATCAACGCGAAGTTGTGTGGGTGGTACACGCACCCGCCCCTCTTGTCCACCCTCGGGCGGCTCTAAACCCCACGGCCTGTGGTGGCTTATGTCGACGGCCACCCGCGACAAGCAGTTTGGGGGGTGGGCAGCGTGCCGGCGCAACTCCAGCTCTCGTTTCTTCTTCTGTCTAGCTCCAACCCTCTTGACTGCCACTGCGCGCTTTTTCTTTGCGCCAGGCAGTGCCCATCCATGCTTGGGGAGGGAGGGTTACTGCTGACTCTCTCCGTCGCTGAAGTAATGCTCACCCATTCCGTCCCTCCCCCCTTCCCTCATGTGCTGGGGAAAAGGCTGCTGTTGCTCTGCTGCTCGTCCACTACCGAGTTCCTCCTGCCTGCCTTGCCCTGCCCTGCCCTTTAATTCTCCCTCCTCCCTCCCTCCCTCTCTTTTTCTCTTCTCTCTCCCTCTCTCCCTCATCCTTCTCCCGTTCCTTCCCCTCTCACTAGCCCGTTCATTCCCCTTTCGCTTTACTCTTACTGTCCCTGCATTGCGCCTTCCTGGCCTGGGACTCTCTTGACATCTGTATACTTGCGCCATTGACCTGGCCTACTCCTTTATTTCTTAATACACACTCTTAGTCTCTCTCTATCCCTAAGCGCCTAACGCGCTCTGAGCTATGTCCACCCGTAAGAGAAAGCAAGAGGCTGAGGAAGAGGAAGAGCTCCAAGCGCTCCCTAGCGACGAGAGCGAGGAAGAAGAAGAGTAAGTCGCTTACTGCATTGCCTATTGCCAGGTTGTTCGCGAACCTGGGCGCATTCTTGTCATTACCCTCTGCTGGTTCAGCTATCTGCTCTGCTGTCATTTCACTCTTGGGTGCCCTCTCTGCGCGCATCACTCATTGGTGCTTATTGGTGGCATTCAGTCGCATTACCCTCTGCTTGCTGGCACCAACCAGTTGAACCTCATTTACTATTCACCTTTACATTTCATGGATACAATGGCTGATTTGGTACTACTACAGATATGAGGACTCCGAAGTAGCCGAGAGCGAGGAAGGAGAGGAAGAGGGAAGCGAAGAAGAGGAGCTTGAAGAAGAAGAGGAGGGCGAAGAGGAACCAGAGGAACAAGGTGAGATCATTCTTCTAGTCTCCAATCATGCTACGTATCTCTTACTAACGAGTATTCTCCTCCTAGCAGCTCCTCCGGCTTCCAAGAAGCGAAAGACAGCTCCGGCGCCCGAACAAGAGGAGGGAGAAGAAGAGGGCAAGGAAAATGGCGAAGCTGAAAATGGTGAAGATGAGAACGGCGTCGATGAGGAAGAGGAGGAAGCACCGGAAGGCGAGGAAGACGCCGAGGAAGCTCCTGAAGAGACAGCAAAGACCAGTGCCCCTGCCGCCGCTGCTAGCAAGGCCAAGGCTGGCGATGTACCTAAGGAAGCCGAGGCCGATGCTGCTGCAGAGGAGGAGTAAAGACCTTCCATCATGGCGTGATAATGACCCGCCAGTATTGACTGCTGTCGCGCTGGCAATATTCTATTGATAATTCTATGATCATTTGCGCGGATATAGTATCTAATGCACATGCTCCTATATCCTGAAGACCAGGCGAAGCCATTGTTATTATCTTTAGTTCATATGTTGTAACTGTAACTGTAACTACAATCTAAGCACTGGCAGTAGATGGGGGGTACGGAGGAGTCGGAACTATCTTTGGAGAAGCGCATGATGGCTACTCCGCACGGCGGCTTAGCCGGGACTTCCAGCTAGACACTAATACTATTTATCCATCTGGACAGATAGCTACTAGGGCAACCGAATCAACCTATCAAACGGAGCACAGCCTCTTGTTCGCAGTTCAACCACATCCTCAATTTCAACTGCAACCTGGGTATTAATAGTATGGAAAATCAAATCATAAAGACAGAATAAAATCAAGAATAGAAATAGAATTAAATAAAATCACACGAAGGAAAAGGAAGTAAGTAGAAAGCGCATCACATCGAACAATAGGTGATATCGATCAACAAGTCCATACAGAATGTAAGTAGTAAGTAGTAGTAGGAAAGAAAGTAAGCTTCTTATCCCTTGAATTCGCCCCCTCTCTAATAGATACAATTTCCTCTCTCGTTCGTCATTTCAACCGTCTGTCCTCTTCGCCTCTTTCCTTATTTCTTAGGTATCTTCTATATCATAAACCATAGGGAGGGGTAGGAAGAAGCAAAGGATGGAAGACAGGGTGATTTTACACTACCTTCTTTGTAAAGGCAAGGTAGCGTAATCTATCCTAGGTTGAAGATTTAACCATCACTACCGCTGCTGCGGAATGTGGCGCACAGTTGGCAGTACTGATGGGTCAGATCGAGGACAGGTTGAGGAAGGTTCGTCGCTTGGACTATACTCCGGACTTTGACGGCGCCTTCGTCTTCGATGAGTTTGCGGATCAGGAATAGGAGGTCGGGAGAGAACTACATTAGAGAAGAGTGTATTGTTAATTTCATCTTTATCGTCGAGAACAAGGGGAATGGGGCACATACCTCGGAGTACCAGCGATACTGCCAAGCGATAAGACGGATCAAGGCGCCTAGCATTCCTCTCGTGTCATTCTTCTTCTCGTACAACTTGAGGAGCCCCCGCATGGCTTTCGGGGAGAAGCGGATGGCCAGGCAGTGCTGATAGGCTTCGATGCCCTCGTCGAAATGGTGCAGGCGTTCGGCCAACTCGCCGAGAATTTCCCATTCCGTGGCGGATTTCTTGTACTCGATCGCCTGTTGGCGGTATTGGGCCATTTCGGTGCGCCAGATGGTGTAGATGCGGAGGTCTTCGTACAGCACCATGAAGAGGTTATCGAGCCATCTTTCACACAGACGCTTGTTGCGGAATTGTGTGTAGGATGAGTGTGAGGGGTCAGGCTAGTAACACGACGCGTTAGTATGGACTTGGGTGGTTTTATTGAAGGTGGGATGTAGACTTACATCTTCGCTGCCGGATTTGACAACTTCCGATGCCATCGACTGCTCTGGTTTCTCAATGGAGTGCTCTGTTTCTTCTTCCTTGGTACCGTTCGCGCCCTCCTCAGACGTGCCGTTCTCCTGCTCGCTGCTTCCATTCGGCTCGTCTGATACGCTTGCTGAGGATGGTGTGGTTGTAGGCTTAGACGTAGACTGCTGGCGCTCAACACGGTATTCTTCTTCCATGACAAAGACTTCGCTGCGGATTTTCAGGAGTTGGTCCCAGCCTATCGCAGCAGCAATCTTAGTGAGGAGATTGTACGCCTTCAGGAAGGTTCCCTGATAGGCAGCAGCGTGGAGTCTGCGTAGTGAGGGGTGGACGTAATCGTGGGGATCACCCTGCTTGGGCTGTCCTTCGTCGATTTCGTCAAGCATGCTCTCAGCAAGAATTGGGAGCATGATGCGAGATGGTTGGGGCATACGAGGTGTGTCCTTATCCTGGTATGTGAACATGGGGCAGGAGTTCAAGGTCAGGAGGGCCAGATCCCATTGCTCGAGGCCAACGTAGACCTCTGCCAATCGTGCCCAGGTGCTGAACTCGCTTGGAGCAGCAGTCACTGCCCGCTTCGCACACTCTAGAGCCATCTCACCCTCGTTCTTGCCCTGGCAGAAATTAGCCTGGCAGTCAAGCAAGGCATAATCCATGGGAACGTCTTGTAAAGCGTCGAACATCAATCGCACGGCTTGCACCTCTTCGTCTGCCATGATGAGAACTCGGGCAAGAAGCGACGAGACCTCTACATCTCGTGTGCGAAGTTTCTCGAAAAGGTTGATACCGGAAGTGTAGCGCCCCGTTGTTTGAATGTACTTCAGAAGTCCGGATGTCAGGTGGTTGCTGACGGTATTCGGCACTTGTGTTTCCGGATCAGAACTGAGTTGTCTTCCTGTATATGGTATCAGCATTGGGGTCCGTTGGGAGTCAACTGTGGAAGCGCACCCAAGAAGAAGAGTCTCTCCGCAGCATCCAGGAATTTGTGCTCCATCTCCGTATTTGTGACCGGGTTGAACCGACGCACCCCGACTATTTTTCTGATCGCATCGCCACCACCATTGTCCGCGTATGAGTAGGCTCGCAGGATTCCGCAAAGAAAGGTCTCCAGCCAAAGGGCTTCCGTCGCAACTCGCTTGTCTCCGCGTTCATCGATGCAGTAGCTTTCCAGGGTGCCGGGGATTTTGACTTCGACGCGCATGTCCAGGTGGGAGAAGGCATTGTAGCAGCTGTTTGTCTATTAACATTTGCGCAACTATAAACACATACAGACGAAGATGTTTCTAACCAATAGATTCCCGAAACCACCTTGTGTGTCTTGTCGAGCGGAGAGAAAGTAAGCGTATTTACATAGGCGGCTAAACTGGCGGAGGAAGAGGCATCGACACCGGTGACATGGTGATAAACGCCGGTCTGTATTTCGATCCCAAACCAATTGAGTTAGCCATTATCACTCCTCATTCTCAAAGTATGCCTGCGCCCGCACTTCCGACGACCTACCTGGTGATGGGCGTTGGTCTTGGGTTGTTTAACCAGATAAACCAAGTCCGGAGGACCTAGTTCCCGGAGGTTCTGTAGGGACTCGGAACGGGCATCGACAGCGGCGTAGATGTTCTCCTCCTCCTCATAGATCCTGGGAAAACACTCAGGGGTCAGTCGCAGGTCAATGATAGTGGGCCCATTTGGCCGATTGATAGCGAGTGATAGAACACGTAAACGAGGGGAAGACATACTCGGGAACAGCTGGCGCGACCATGGCGCTGGCAGGAGCGCAGACAGAGGCTCTGGATGGTCACAGGAAGGAAACCAAGGGGTATAGGGAGCACGAAGTGCTTTCACGATTGGGAGAAATTGAAGACAATGAGGCGCAGCAGAAAGCGCAGGTCGTTGTTCAAGACCAAACGGAATGGCGACGATCGATGAATGCCTGGCCGCTTCCTCAGGCAACTGCTGGGTCAGGTACCCCGGTACCGCCTTTGCCTCTTTCGGTAATTCCCGCCCGCGCAACGCGTGTCTGTCACGGGCTCTTTCTCCAGTTCCATTTATCGAGTCTCCAATTCTAGACTCTCCGTTCCTTCCATTCATCTTCCCAATCTCCACTCCACGTCATTACCACCTTCCAGGTTGGGCCTTCCCTCAGGTAGCCCGGGGTTGCTTGTCTTTCCTTTTGAAATGTGGTATAGCCGGCCCGGTTTTACTACCACTATCAGGGAGCTCGTTGCGCCCTGCCATTAAACCGGCATTATGTCTAGCTGGGCAGCTTTGAATATTGAACCCGATGAGGCTATTGAGGAAGAAGTCGATGACACCAAGGAGATTCAAATTGAAGAGGCGCTTAAGCTGTACCAAAATGCCTTGAAGCTCCATTCCCAGGGTCCACAGTTCTATGCGCAGGCCGAAGAGGCATATGATGCTCTGCTGGATTCTGAGATATTCAAATATCCCGAGTCAATCTCTGATTATAAAAGAGTAGCCACTCAGGAATCTGAACCTCAGTATGATGACACAGTGGTGGCGGGTGCGACAGAAGCGCTCGCGGAGTTCGACATCAGTGACTCTACGTCGAGCACGCTGATGCAAACCATATACCTATCGTACAAGAACCACGGACAGTATATCCTGGATGCGTTACACGCATCTCTGCAGGGTATCACCGAATCTTCTAAACTTTCTGGGGATCCCCGAAGCAAGGTCAAAGAGAAAACTAGCACAGCTTTGACGGCGTTTGCAGAAGCCCTGGAACGTGACGACTCGGATCTGAACCTCTGGAGACAGAGCGCAAGACTTTGTAGCGCTCTGCAAAGCTATAGACTAACACGATACTGCCTTGAAAGTGTACTAGCAGACGATGACAACCGCTTAGAGGTTCGGACAGAGCAGCTAGGGTTGGAAGAAACATTTGCCGAGGAGCGCCTGCGTGAAGTGCTGCGGTCGCTGCTTGATAGGTTGTCTGTGGCTCAAGTACCCTTGAAAAAGCCGAAAAAGGCCCTTCTCAAATTTCTACAGCGCCAGGCAGACCCGTATCCCTACCTTCCCCCTCTTCCGTTAGATCTGCAGGACACAGATCCGTCGACGAACCCTCTTGCCTTAAAGGCTTCTCGTCATGAGATCAAACCAGCTAGCCCTACATGGGCCGATGTTGGCAAGTCGATAATTCAAAGCCTCACTGATGAAGAAGTCGGCGCGTCAGAGATCGGACCTGGGGCTTCAGTTGGCATATCGGTGCCTATTCTCAGTCCTGAAACAAAGGCCGTAGGGTCTCAACGCCGAGCCTCAGATGCTCAGGCCGCGGATGGGAAATCCAACCAGCAGCAGGACGTCGTCATGTCGGAGGAGCATCAACCCACTGTGAAGTCTGAAGGGCCCGACGTTGTGCCAGAGCAAGTCGATGACCATTCATCCATCGATCAGCGCGCAGAGAAACAGCTCATGGAGTCGCTAGAGATTCAGTCGACTCAGCCCGGTAATCCTGGAGGTCAGCATGAGATTGCAAATGCCGATGAGGTTGATGTAAAGCCCTCAAATGACCGGAAAAGATCATCTGCCTCTGCTGTTACGGAGGACCAGGCAGACCGTATACGGGCAAAAGCCAGGAGGACCCGCCTTCGTGAAGCTACTGAGGATGTCTCATTCCAGAGTGAAGAGGTTAATCTCGACTTGAATAAATACTACGAGGATCGTCTTGAGAGTTTTACCCAAGCTGACGAATGGTTATTCGGTACTGTGGGTACTTTGCTATCCAATCTTGACGTAACAGATCTTGGAAGCATTGACGATCTGAGAAAACAAGTTTGTTCTACCAATGAGAGCAATGATTCTGCAACTGCCGTGACTTGCGCTCCTGAGGGCGCAGGACACTTACTCGTCCGTGATTTGATGGACCTCATCAAGTCCTGGGATGAAGCCAAGTCCCATGCTATGCACCAGCCAGATAATCTTTCCACGCTTCAAGACATTCGGGGTATGGGAAAATCTGGTATTGCGATTTTCCTTGAGCATTCAAGAAAGTCGACCAGGAAATTAGGCATCAAACAAGTCCTCTCCGGAGAAGACGCACTCTACACGTTCCTAAGGACAGTCAATGACGGATGGCTTCCCTTGCACGATGTCGCCCTTTGCTGGCTCAAAGCGCTACTAATGCCCGACTTTGCGAGATATGCGACGGATGACATACTACAACAAGACGGGCCTGTCGTGGAGTCCGCGTATACCCTCTATCAATGGCCGGATACTTTGAAGGAAGCAGTCGTGCAACTCCTGCTGCATGAAGACGAGTACATCTATAGACATATGCGCGAACAGATCGACAACCTTGAGAACAACGTTCTGTCCAATGAATCTGGAAGACTTGCATACAGCACACAATACTTGTCGGACTTGGAGATGCTTCAAACCCTCTTCGAGCTTCACCTCGACATCTATGCGTCTATCAACAATCCAAACAGTGAAATTGATGGTCAAACAAGGCTACTGCAGCGTGATCGCTTGGCAAGATGGTGCTTGCTCGCGCGGACATCGCTCACCCACTTCCTGGATCACAGCTCTCCTAGCCCCACTCGGGAAAGAATGGTACTCCGTCATATCTGGGCATCGACGTTCCATTCAAACATGGCTGGAGATATTCAGAGGGAGCACGTCCTACTTTGCCTCCAGGAGCTGAAGTTATTCTTGGTATCACCCAAAACCCCAGCCATAAGCCTGGTGAACAATGCGGTGATGCCCGAGCTGTCGACCGAGGCAGTTGATCAGGAGATCTCCAAGCTGAAGTCGATGGATTTCTTCATGAAAATATTTAACCCGACGTCGGATGACCCTGTTGGTCTGATCGAGACTATCGAGCCTATCCTTGAACCTTCCTCTGTCCAATTCGGCGAAGGTCTCGACGGAGAAGTATCTGAACAGCCAACTTCTCAGCTCCTTGAGATGGCATCCTTTTTAGATCGCGGAGATGCTACCTTGAGACTTTTCCTATGGAAGAGACTACAGGATGCGTACAAGAAGATTGAATATCCCCCTAAGGTCGTTTCCTGCTACCTCCGCAGCATCGAAATCATCATGAAGGAGCTTAGCACTCCTGCACATCTCGATGAGCCCGGTGACCATCGTCAGATCACTTTGCTCAGATGGCTCAAATCACTCGACAGCATTCTAAGCAAAGCTGTCACGATCGTCTTACATGAATCGGAAAAAGCGTATGAGTGCTTTGACAGGGAACATTTAAGATCATCAATGTCTGCCGTCGCTCGTCTTACAAAGCTCCTCCACAGTTTTGCCCTGTACGAAGACTTGGTTCGTGTAGGTAAACTGTCAGGACCGGAGCTCCGTGGAGCATTGGCAAAGTCTCTGGAGGGTCTGAAAGATAAGCTGCGCGAGATGCAAGTCCGTTGCTGGATCTTGCAGTATACGCTACTGAAGGACGCCATTACACAGAATCCTGAAGCTTTCGATACACCCATGGAAGACCGCGTACATTACTTACGGTCGGTACACAATGCCCTCGGGATTCGCAGGATGTGCAGGTTTTCCCATAAGCAATTTCTCAAACTGGTCAGGTCTGAGATATTCACTCTTGACGTGGAGCAGGACATCGAGCTGGATATCTGTCAAATCCTGTACGATATCTATGGTATCAAGTTGTCCCCGGTGGATGGTTCATTGAATGACCATGGATGTCCTCCCGAAAAGCTGGACCGCTCTACGGCGATCGTCATGGTGGACTTCGTCATGAAGCAGGCCAAGAAGATGAATATCAAGGACCTGTCAAAATCCGAGCTGAAATCTACTATTGACAAGATGCAGCAAGCCATCGGTACTACGAAGTCGTCGCCTCCGCTATCATACAACAAGCGTATCATCACCGCCTACTTGAAGTCACCAATCAATCCTTCTGAGATATCCCGTGCCATTCAGGGAGTGGCTGACCTCCCACTAATTCCTGTACCTGCAGAAAGTGCAGTTATTGCTCAAAATGGCTGGTATTTCCTTCTGGGTCATGCTGCTTTGACAAAGTTTCGCTCCCAGAAGCGTCTGAACCCCGTACCCACAACGGATCTCGACGATGCAATCGTATGGTTCAGACAAGATTTGGAGCACGGGACGTCAAGATGGGAGACCTGGTACCGGCTCGCCCAGACGTATGACTCGAAGCTTGAGGAGGATATTACCTGGTCTGCTGATAAGATCAATAACAATCGGATGGAGTTGGTCACCTGGCAACGCAACGCAATTCATTGCTACGCAATGGCAATTGCAACAGCTATTAAATACTCAGAACCAACAGCTGAGACTCGCGCAATGCTCTCAGATCTGTTCACTGATTTTGGTATCCGTCTATACTCCTCTTCGCGAGCGCCCCTATCGATGGGGGCTTTCAGTCTAGCTGATTTCACGCGGCATTTTAGTGGCGAGGAAGACCAGCGGATGTATGAAGGAAGGCCTTTTAGGGAGATGAAGCTTTATACCGTCTGGAATCTTGCCAGCTACTTGCTTAAGCGTGCCCTTGTCGACAAGCCCAAGAATTGGATGCATGTCACCCTGTTATTCCGCCGGTGATCTGTCATAAGCTAACTGCCACTTAGGACTCATTATATGCGGAGTAAATGCCTCTGGAAGATGTTCAGCTGTGATGAATCTGTTAGAGGTTCTTTTAAACGGATTGAAGTCGACGTGGTCTTGGATTCCCTGCTCGATGCCATCGATGCCCTGCCGCAGCGGAAGGATTCACGCTCTGATCCTATATTTGAGCCACATTATAAGCTTGTCTCGGTAGTACACAAGCTTGTGCATCTTGGGACTCTAACGGTATGCGAGTCTCTATTCTCAAACCTGTTGACATGACTGACTCTCCACTCAGGCTGCGGAGGGAAGCAAAACGCTCCTGGCAACACCTTGGGCTCGCAAAGT